AACTGACTTTTAGTTACTAAATCACTCATATTAAATCAGATTGACACAGTTTAGGATTTGATAATTCAGATACCTAATTATACTGTATATATATATATATAAACTTATTCCTATAACCAGATAATTAATTTGTCAATTTACATATTTATCATGAAAACTTTTATTTTAGGTAAAGCCAATTGAATTGTTTATCAAAAATATCAAATTTTTTCTTTAATACGTATTTAATTTATTTAAAAATTTAAATTATAAAAGACAATTATAAAAAAATATTTTATAGAAATTATAGTTGAATTTTTTTAATTCGTTATCAAAATATACTTTACTTACTTTTAACATTTAGCTTTTAATAATAAATGAACCTTATATTTAATACATATTTAAATGATAATAATATATATATTATCTTTAGTATAGAGCTTTTTAATAGCACTTAAAATTTCTCTTAAAGAATAGTAATCACATGTAATAATAAAGAATAAGTTAACTTTAATATTATATAATTTGATCTAAATAACTTAGATATTTAATTTCTAAAATTATATAGATATTTGAATAATAAATTAAAAAACCGTTTTGAATTTAATCAAATCAAATCAAATATTAATTTAGATTTGATCAAATAAATCATTCTTTGATTTGAATTTCATTAAATCCAATCAAATATTCAAATATTAAATTGAATTGCGAAACTCTAACTTTAATAATATAATCATAATTAAACATTTTTATTATTAAGAATACTGCTTTTTTTAAGATTTTATCTATAATTAATTTTGAAATATTACTATATTTAATAAATAATTTAGTTTAACTTCTTATATATTAGATAAATCATTTTTCTTAAGTAAGAAGGTTTGTAATAATTTAACTTACTTTTTAATTTTACATGTTCTTTGTTAAGAAGCTATAAATAATATTAAATATATTTAAGTTGTAATTTATGTTTTAAAGTTAATTATTATCATTAAATTTTAACTTTTTTTCAATATTATCAATAAACAAAGTATTTTTTCAATTTTTCATCAATTTCTTTATCACTTGTATTTTTCTATTAAAATTGAAAAAGTTGCACTAATTCCATTTTAATTCAGTTTATTAACTTCATCATCTGTGCTAAATTCATTATATAAACTATTATAATAAGAAAAATTATCATCATTTTCTTATTATTAAATTTTTTCTAATAATATTTTAACATTATTATATTCAAAATGTGTAATAATACTAATAACCTATTACATTATAAATTTTTGATTAATTTCAATTAAAATTATATATTTCAAATTCTTTTCTACATAATGAAATATCTAATATTAAAAGATTTAATAACTTTTATTTTAAATATCTGATTAGAATATTCTTAACATAATTTTATAGTTTAATTAGTATCTATTAAATTATATTAAAATATTTTAAATATATCTATAATAAATCTTTTTATTTTATTTTTAAAAGTGATAAATTTTATAAATTTTATTTGATGATTTATTTTATTTTAAACTGTATAAGTAATAAATATTTTACTTTGGTACGTATATAATATATAATTGATGAGATTAAGATTACTAGGAAAAATAAAGGGGTTTTATACTTGCTGAAATGCTAAAATGCTAAAATTATATTAAAATCTTATAATTACTTATGTTAAAACTATAATAAAATGCCAAAATGATAAAGCTATCATAATAAATGCTGAAACTGGAAAATCTATAATAAAATTATATTAAACTCTTATTAAAATTTTACTAAAACTAATCAAAGAATTTTAAAAAGATTTAAACAAGCATTTTTAGATTAGATATAAAATAATGATTAAGATTATCAATTAGTTTTGTCAGGTATAATGATAAATAAGTAATAGTAAAGTAACAAGTAAATTTAAGAACTTAAATAAAAGTATTTTTATTGATAGGAATAGAAGGAATATTAGAATTATTTATATTTATATTCATATTATCATTATTAAATTAGAAGAATGTTATGAAACTTCAATAAATTTTTACTAATTTTATTATCAGCAGAAAGGATAGGAGTTAAAATAGATGTGAAGAATTCTACAAAATAAATTTTTCTAGATAAATTAGTAGTATATTGAATTTTACGAGAATCAAGAAAAAAGAGGATTTAGAATCACTTTTAGGTTTTGAGATTCTTTAGGCTTATTATCAATAGAATATTATGATTAAATTTTAGCTGTAATATTAGCAAAGAGTTTTTATTTCTTTTTCTAGTAAATATTTTCTTTGAAAAACTTATGTTTCCAATATAATTTTCATCTGCATTAATTCCTTGCAAAAATGGATTATTGCTAATTATTTCTCATTATTATTACATATATAAATGTCATTAATAATGTGTTTGGTATAATGTAGCTTTAGTTTAATATAAATAAAAAAAATATCAAATTTGAATCATTATTTACTAGAGCAATGTTTGCAATTTATAATTTCATTCCAACTGAAAAAAAATCTTTTTGTATTTGTATAATTTGTCTAATTGTTCCTTTACAATCAGTAGAATTAAAATTGCAAATAAATACTGTTAACATTTTTATATACTATATACTATTTGGTTGTTAAATAAATATTTAATTTATTTACAATTTTTATTGACTATTTATAAAAATTTCATTACTTTATTTAATGATAACTTCTTTACTTATCTAAATTTCGCTTACTAATTTCGGCCATAGATTCTTATAGTTAAAGAAAAATTTTAAGTTTCGCTCATATATCTGTGGCAATTCCTCAAAAAACAGAGATCAAATAGTTCGTAACCCATTAAATATAGAGAGAGAAAATGTTCGCTTCGCCCGAGCATCAAATAACAAAATATGATTGGCAAACCGATCGGCATATATGTCTTGTTAAACACAAAATATTGTTATCCAATTTAGGTAATTTAGGTCAATTTAAATAATATAAAAAAAAAATTATACTTCTTTTTCTTTTAAATTTGCAAAAATGTTCAAACTCAATAAAGATATTCTTTTATTAATTTTTGAGGAATTACAAGATGATTCAATGCCACTCTACTCGTCCCTACTTGTTAATAAATTTTGGCTTGAAACCGTAATTCCAATTTTATGGAAGAATCCTTGGCGTTATGTAGATTTGAAATCTCAAAGCAAAATTTCTTTATACAACATTCTTATCTTTTTTTTATCCGAAAATTCTAAGGAATTTTTAACAAGTCAAGGCATAATATTACCTTCAACGTCAAATCAATCATTAATATTTGATTATCTTTCCTTCTGCAGGAGCATCAATGTTGATGTTGTAAACAATATACTATCAATTGGTTCCTCTTCGGCTTATAATCAATACCTTTTACAACAAGAAATTTACAATCTCTTCATGAGAAGATGTCCACAGTTAAAGTATTTAGACATGATATCTCTTAAACATCAATTGTTTTACTTTCCAGAAGCAAAGATATGTCTTGAATCACTAGGCGAACTAATATGTGAAACAGCTACCGATGATTCATACTTTTATGGATTGGCGAGCATCTGTCAAAATATACAAAGGCTTGTTATTCTCAACACGAGGTTGGAAGGTAATCTTGGAATTGTTGTTCTAATAGAAGTTCAGAAGAATTTAAAATCTTTCGAATGGAAGGACAATTTAAGTTTTGATTACTACATCGAACAATTTAGTTACAAAGACAATTTTATGGCATTAAAGAAGAAGGCTGATACTCTCATTCATTTTGCAGCAAGCTTTTATGATTTTCCTAATAATAATTATTATGATAATAACACAACATTTCCTCCAGAGTTACTTCCAGAACTTTATAACTTAAAGGCGTTAAAATTTAATACTCCTTTTTTTAGTAAACGCGTATATGAAATTCAATTGAAATTGGCTATCTATAGTAACCTTGAAATTCTTCAAATTGACTATATTTCTTCTAGTACGATCACTAGTATCATTAAAAACAGCGGAGGGAAACTCAAGAAAATTCTAACCAATAAGCAAGCACTCTATGAAGAGAATTTTTATGATGATTCTCTTAATTACATTCGTGCAGTTTACGATCATTGTCCTTTAGTTGAATATTTATCACTCGGATTCCCTTCATCACTAGAACATTTCTTGGAATTCGAAAATCTACTAAAGGCTTGTCCAAAATTGAAAGTGTTAATATTAGAAATTGAAAGTACAAGTCAGTTGCTTGATGAAAGATTTAAAACAAGCTATTGGCAGTTACCTGGTATACCTGAAAAAAGGAATAATATAGTTGAAAAGGACATGTTGATGTCTGGAGAAAAACTATTAAATGCATTAATTAGGTCCGCGCCAATTTCTCTAAGAGAACTAAGATTTTATTCTAGTTTTAAATTTTCGTTGATAACCCTGGAAGAATTTTTAGAAAATTGGAGGGGTCGACCTGCGCTTACCATTTATACTTTAGATCGTGTTTATGAAACAGAAAATTATGTGAAAATAATTGAAAAATATGTGAACGAAGGTGTGATTGAAGACTTTCTTTATGGTTCTATACCTATAGGAGATACTTAGATTATATATTGGATTGAGATTTTCACTATGATGGGTTGATTAGATTAAATTGCCGAATTGTTTAAAGGATCGTTAGCGGGAGGTAAAATAACATAATTTATGATTATGATGAATGTGAAGAATATATTTTGTTATCTAGCAAACGCGAATCCAATTGGGCATCATAGTAGTGTTATTCCGCGATAGTTTAAAATTCAATTAATTTAGGGTAACATTTCATTCTTGTAAAATCAACGAGCGTCAAATTGTTTACAATCTGAGCGTGCAAGGAATATTGGTAATTTATATAATACGGTGTTGCCATCAATGATTATAGAAAATATGAATTCAAAAATAAATCATGTGATTGCGATCTCATTCCTGAAAACAAATCCTAACCAAAAACAGTTATTTATCAATAAATGGGTATAATTGATGAAATATGGTTAAAAATTAAAGAAAATAGTACTTTAAAAATAAATTAAAATCAATTACCTAAAATGCCTATTCAAAAAAAAACCTATTTCATATTTAAATTAAAATTTTATAGATAGATGTATGATTACAGTATATTACATAGAATTATATACTCTATACTAATAATAAGTTAAATATATTGATTAAATTAAAAGCTTTTACTATAATAATTTATAATAAAATAGGTTAAATTAATAATGATAAATAAATATTCTATAAATCTTTTTGATTAAAAAGTATTAATAATCTAATATCTTTATAAAATTTTAAAAAATTATTTATTAAACAATAATTTTTTTTAATAAAAAATATTTGATATAATTTTTTATTAATATTTATAAAATAATAAAAATAAAATTATAAATTTTGTATATATATGTTTTAATATTATAATAATTAAAATTAAGTTTATTTAAAAATAAAAAAAAAATGTTAAAAAAGTATTAATTTTTTTATAAAATATTAAAGTAATATTATTATTATATAAAAATATAGTTTAATATATATTTATTACTTTATTATTAAGTAGTATAAAGTTTTTTAGAAGTTTTAATAATTTAATTTTAAAATTCAAATTTTATTATAATGATTTTTAAATCTTATAAATTTATATATTAGCATATTAATTAAATCATTAACCACTAATAAAAATCATAAATTTTCTTAATTAATAATAAAAGTTTTAATAATAAAGTTTTCCTTTTTTTTATAATGAATTTATAATAAATATAATTAAAATAATTAAAAGTAAATTCTAATAAGATTAATTATTAAAATTTAAATAATAAAATTTTTTTTTTTACAAATTACAAATTTAAACTTTAAATTAATCTTAAAATTTATTATATAATTAAAAAATTTTTTAAAGATTATTTATAAAAAATTAAGTTAACAAATTTATATATATTTAACATATATATTTTAAAAAAAATTGATTTTATAATTAATTTAAGATTATAATTAAATTTAAAATAAAATTTCTTATTATTTAAAGAATAATTATAAATCAGATGAATATTAATTCATAATTATATTTATATAGCAATAATTTATAATATATTATTTTTAAATTAATTAATTTAGTAAAAAATATATATAATATTAAACTTTTAATATACTTAAAATATTTATTATTTGAAAAACATTATATTTTTATAATATATATTAAAGATCATGATTATATAATTTTCTAATTATTTACATATATTAATTTTAATTGAATATTAGGTAGATCAATCATATTATATTTACTTATATATTTTAGACTTATATTTTATTTTTTAGTATATATATTAAAGATGGTATTGCAATTACTAAAAAATATTGCAATTAAATTTATTAATATTACAATTAAGTTATAACTAAAATAAATTTAAAAACTATTATAATGTTAACATGTAATTCTTGCGAACTACAACTGTTAGATGAGGTGTCAGAGTGTTATTTTTTTTTAATTGCACAGTAATCTTAAGGCTTTTTATCTCGACTAAATTCAAGTAAAAGTTTTAAATAAAAAGGTTTTCACAAGTATTTCATAATCAATAATTTACGAGGTATCGAGTAATTATAATTTCAAGTAAGAAGTTTATTAATATGATAAGAAATAAAAGAAAAAGGAAATAAAAGATATGACAAGAGAAAAGAAAAGAAAGAAAATAAAGAAACGAAAGATGAAACTCAAAATGTAATATGATAGGCCTGTTTGCCTCTTAAAAATTACTAAAAACTGACTTGTCAAATCCTACTTTTTACATGGTCTAAAAAGCTATCTATTTATATAAAATACAGTATATAGAAAGATATAACTAATGTGTCATATATGTCGAATCTGTCTAATATATTTTATTTGTCCATCATGTTAGATATATCATATATGTCTGACATGTCAGAAATGTCAGATTTGTCAGATTTGTCAATCATCTGTGCCATGTAAGTCCTATCATATTTTATTCGTTCATATTACTCCTCGCTTAAAATTTCTGCTCCTGCAGAAATGTTAAGAGTTTTCAATAGAAGAACTTGATATTCGCTAGACTTCAGTTGGCGAACCATGATCAAGGTTAAGTATTGAGTAGTAAAGATCCGTTAGACTCCTAAGTTTTTAAAGAGGTGATAAACTCAGATAGCAGTTCAGTAATAATGTTTTGTTAGTGTTACCATTTGTAACGTCCATTGAGTAGAAGAAATAGTTACAGCATCAATAAGTTGACCTAAATAATAAGCATTTACAAGAGACAAAGAACGACTCCTCATATGTGTAGAGTGAAGTAAAGTTTGATATGTCAATTGCACTTTTTGTGTCAATGTTGCGTCAGTTTGATAAGGTGGCATTATTGGTTAAATTTCTTTGTCAGAGAGGATTATAGAATCTTGAAGTTCTTTTAAGACAATTTCACTATTAATTGATTCCATTACTATCGTAGCAGTCTAAATGGTATTATAATAATACATATATTATTTATAATAATTTTTAATGTTGATCATCATTCAATAATAATCTGAGGCTCCCATTCGGTCTGTTTCAGATATAGTTTCAAAAGATCTGCATGTGTGGGATTCTTTCTAACTCATCTATCTAAAGTACAAAGTTTATAAGTACTAGGTTTTACAATATCGTGAATATAGAAAGGTCCATCAAATTTATCTTTAAATTTGTTTTCATGAATATGTGATTGTATTACGTTAAATAATAAAACTTTATCCCAATTTGATAAGAAATTTCAGGTCGATTCTTATTGTAATATTGCTGTTGCTGTTGTTGTCGTTACATTATATTCTATTGTGCATCTAATCGTCATTGTTGTAACTGCGATGTGATTATCTGCTGGTGCTTTTCCATAGCATTTGATAGGTTACTAATAGAAGAAGGTTGTTGCAATTGTAAATCTATTAGTAAAACTGCTTTTCATCCATATAATAATTTGAATAGCTCAAATTTCGTTGTTTTTTGCTATGCTGTACGATATGCAAAAAGTGCTGAAGTAAAATATGTATCCTATTTTCCATGGTATTGTTCAGCATACTTTGCTAAAATTGTACATAATATTCTATTAAAATGCTTTGTCAAGCCATTAGTTTGTGATGATACAATGAAAATAATTTATATTTAGTTCCAACTATGTGTAACAATATAGTAATTAATTTATTTTGGAATAATCTTGCTCTATCGTTAATATTTCTTTTGGCGTTCCATATTGACAGATGATTTTATTGTACATAAATTGCATGGTAGTTTATATAGTACAATTTAGTGTAGTGATAGCTTTAAGCCATTTAGTCAAATATTTGGTTGCTATAATAATGTACTGATTTCCTTTAGTAATACGTGAAAGTGATCCTACATAATCTATTCCTACACAGTTGGTTGTCTAACAAGTATAGGCAGTGTTGTCATGGGACATAGTTAGGACACTGATGGGACACTGATGGGACATTGATGGGACAGATGGGACATTTGGGATATATATGGGACATAGTTGGGACATATAGTTGAGACATATAGCTGGGACAGCAAATGCTTGGGACATAGGAAATGGACATCACTGAGTATAGGTATAGGGATTCCTTAGGTTTTGACCTTTCTTATCATTGGTATACATCACATATTTGTATCCAATTTTTAATAGTTTTATACATACTTAGCCAATAATATTGAGAGGCAATCTTATTAAACATAATATCCCTTGCTAAATGTCTTCCTAAAGGTTCATTATGGATATTATGTAGAATATATTTGACTTCATTTGATTTTACTACAAGTAATAGTTGAGAAGATTGTTTGCGATTATATCTATAAAGTTATTGATTTTATGTGAAGTAAAATTGTGCTTGCTTTTGAATTGCAGGTTGTTTTGAAGGAGTAAGATTTAAAGGGTATATAAATTGAGTAAGGTATTAAAATAGTTGATGGTAAGTTTTGAATTCCATGTTGTTGAGCTGCTAGTTATACTTTTAGTACTTTTATTTTCACTTTAAAAATTCTAATAAATAATCAGTTTACTGTAATGGAAGTCGAGACAATGCGTTAGCGTTTGAGTGTATTTTCCTTTTTTATATTAAATTTGATAAGAAAATTCTATTATATGAATAATTTATTTTTGAATTTACAAGGTGAATTTGTTTATTAAAAAGCTATTATAAGGCTGCATAGTTAGTAATTAATTCAAACTGATTATATAATAGATAAGATCGAAAATGCTTCATTTCTCATACGTAGTGAAATATTCCAATTCAGTTGAAGCATAATTCCATTCAACACTGCTTATACTTTAACTATTATAGGCAATAATATATTCCTTATTATCATCATCCAATTGTACTAGTACTACTTCAAGTCTAATATATGATCTATCTGTAAATAGCAAGAACTTTTGCTTAAAATCAGCGTATATTAGGACTGATGCAGTAGTTAAACAAATTTTCAAATATTCAAATACTTTTTGCTGTGGTTCAGTCCAGATATAAGGCATGTCTTTTCGCAATAATAAATGTAAAGGTGCAGCTAATGTAAAAAAGTCCTGAATGAATCTTCAATAATAAGATGTGAGGCCTAAAAATCCTTGGAGTTCAGTAATATTCTTTGGGATAGTGAAATTCTTGATTTTGTCAATTTTGAAAGGGTTAGAAAAAATTCCTTGTTCACTAACAATGTGTCCCAAGAAGGCTAATTCTAACTTAGCTAAATCACATTTATCTTTTTCAAGTTTTAATTCGGCATTCTTTAATCTTTTAAAAATTAATTGTAAATGCTATATATGTTTATCAAAGGTAGTTGAGAAGATAATAATATTGTCAAGGTATACAGCTACAAATTGTCTAATTTTTTCTCTATGATTAAATTTCAATATTATATTCATAATATATTAATGTAATTTTGATATTAAATTATATTAAATAGTATAATTAAGTTATAATATTTTAATATTTCTTTTAATAAAAAAACTATTAAAATTGCTTATCTAAATTTATTTTAGATTCAATTTAAAGAATATAACAAAAATAGTAAAATATAAATTTTGATTGACTAGTATAACGATGATATAGTCCGTCGTACAATTTTTAACCTGTTATTGTTACACTAAACATTAGTCAACCACATGATCAAAATTTTCATACTCTGAAATTATGTTAATTTCAGCCGGAATTATAATCGTGATTTTTGCGATAAATCACGATAAAATCGCGTGCAATTTTGGACCTATACTTTAAAAAAAGAGTTTTGATACTATAATGATTTCAAATATTCCACGCATATACAGCCTCTCACTTTCATTTCACTAATTAGTTAGCATACTCGCCATCAATAGGAAGAAGTCATTATCCCCAAGCGGTAATAATACAAAGAAAATTTGATGAGCACTTAGAATTTTGAACTAACTAATTTTCTTGCCCAACAGAACTTTTATGAGCCTCCTGTTTGATTATCGCCGAACTGACAAATCGATAATTGCTTATACAAAAAAAAAAAAATATTTTAAAGAACGTAGCGACTAGAAGTTAACTATATTTCTGAATTGTTGACAATAAAGGACCTGAGAACAGCCACATTCAAGTGGTTTCTTTCAACATATAATAATTACTCGTCAAAATCGTCATTGATGGGATTTCGTGTCTGATTGACGATAGTATCAACTATAGTAATGGCATCGATGAGGACGGTTGTAGACAATTCTGCGATGTTCTTATGACTCATCGGCAGTGTTGCCATGGACATTGTTGGGACATGATCTGGTACAGTTTGGGACAATTTCAAAATGCTTGGGACATAGAAAATGCTCGTCAGCACTGCATTAATTAGAATGCCTGATAAGCAAAGGATTTTCCGTTTTCAAAGAAGAAACCTCGTTTCAATCCGCTTCACTTTATCAGAAATCGATGTAGCTTCTTTGATAATTTATTAAGGAACTTTATACGGTGAGTACTGCTGAAAATAATTATTTCTCTCACCCTCAGCCATAATTTTCTCTAGAGTCAACAATTATGATGAGCAGACGCAATGCATCTACTCTATGTGGCGTGAGCATATTACTTACCTATTTGCATTTAGAAAGTAAAAGCCAATGTTTTTATATATATATATATATTCATCTATAAGTGGAGAAATATAGGTGAGTCCAATCTACTATTTATGTAATGCTGTCGGAATTTGATATAATCATTATTTATTTTTTTTATGAATGATGATGAAAACGCAAAATTTTTTATTGTGGAAGGAATGGGCGTTATTGAAAGAAAGTAGCAAAATGTTGATATGTTATTCTAATGCGACGCACATGTCTATCGCAATATTATGTTTACACATATGTGGGCCTGCGAACAAACTATCTAAAAATTACCAGGCTTGGCGCCCAACGATCATTTGCGTGCGTTATGATATGTGTGGTTGTTATATTGTCAGTTATATATAATATGCATCAATTTTATGTAGAACAAACGTTAAAGGACCTCATCTGAATCCGAATTCATTACTATCTTCAAGCATCTATTTATCAAGCCTTATCATCGGAGCCAGGGAGATTAATGACGATTAACATCAGCTTTAAATATTTTAATTTGTGGTTACGACTTAACTGCCTTTTACGACTTTGAACTAGACTTTGCAGCAAACAAAAAAATGATCAACAGATAGGGTTATAATCTTTTTATATTCATGCTTGACTTATACCTTTATGACCATAAAGGACTAGTTAGACATTTTTGGGTGATGCTGTGGAAGTATAATTTAATTAGGATAATATTAGATAGCTAAATCATTTTAGCGCAAATAAACTTAATTATGTATCAGCATTTCTTGAAATATATGATTTTAAATTTACCGTTACGGGCGCTGGAGCTCTTATATCATTAGATTCTGGCCATCAATCCAGCCGGAGTCTAGAGCTAGAATTGAATGAGAATATTCGTAAATAATATCGTTAAGCATCATGGTATTGACAAGAAATCATACTAAATTAGAAAATTTTTATTACATGATATTTCAAATTCTATATTCATTTTGTAACTAATTTACATTTTTGATTATATTATTTGAATTAAATTTTTGCTTTGCCTTCATCGAAGGATTTCGGTAGGTGGGATAGTATCGCTTCTTTCAATCCTGTTTTGTTGACGTTTTAATGCTTTTTCTAGATACTGATTATGTATGAAAGCAATGTGAGATTGGTCTATAGTTTATTTTACCCGTTTGCAAAAACAAAGTAGGTCAAGCAAACGAGTAAATCAAAGCGATTAATCAACCTCTTGAGAAAACTAATCTAATAGAAATGTATATTTTTTTATCCATCTACTTGGAAGTGAGCCTTAAATCCGCAGTATCAAGAGAGTGTACAAGCTCTTACATTTGTAAATGATCATTAAGGTTACTTACACAGCAATTCATATGAGACTTTTCTTTTTTTCAACATCTGGCTTGGTCCTGGAACCTGATTCGAGATCACCTCAAAGTATTTCTGTGATCGCCGATTCATCCACGAAAGATAAAATATATGAATTACTGTTATAATTCAACCTTACATTTCATGTAATTCATCTATTTGCTTGTTACATTCTGCGGTATATCAATCAGGCTTGAAGAAAGTGAATCCATTGAGGTCATACTTTTTAAAAAACCGAACGTCTCTTTGTAATTCACCTGCTAACTAATTGGAGCCTGAAAATCACGGTTTCACCTCCGAAGTCTACCCGTAACTCAGTGGATTTTCTACTGGTATATAAAAAAGCAAACTTGAGCAGTTGGTTAATATTCAAGCATTCATGTATCACTGTGATAGTTTAGACGACATGGATCAAGATTTGCGCTGAAATTCGGATTCTTATATCGTGAGATATCAAAATCAAAACGGTAAAAGCTCCTTCAAATGTAAAGGCCATTGAGCGTTAAATGTATGTAATGCTTGGGTAAATAAGCATTTTAAAGTCAACGATACTTACTTTTAATTCTTTATTCTTGCGAAAATATGATTTTTCGTAAGATTATATCTCGTGGAGCGTTCAGTGATCTATCAATTCAGGTTTATTTTAATAGCAATCGTTGTATGTAGCAATTGCTCTAATCATGATCCCCGTTTCTACGCACTATGAAAGTGTTGAAAATAATTAAGTTAGATCAGCATGAATGACATGTTCTAGCAAAATTTAATGTACCTTTAGCTAGAAATTATGGACGAAGTTGATCTTATATGCGTTTATAAAGATTTCACTATAGTATCATTAGTTCACACTGGTAGTGCTTATTTTGTTTACTTAGAAAAATGTCCGATATCCTTGATGAAAGTTGAAACAACAATGAAGTTCTAGAATCCGATTTTTGCAATTTATTTCGATGATAATGGTAAGTTTGAATTTGGGTTTTATTTGGTTTTCATTTGATTTAGGCAGAGTGGATAAAAAGAATTTACCTACTCTTAACTATTAACATCATGATACGGATTATATGATTTACTATGTTTTTAATAGCAAATGACCCATATGTATTGTTGCGATATAGACCACGTGATCTTGGAATAGGAAGAAATATTTATATCACGGATAATTTAGCAGTCACGCTAATTGATCAACTCGGAAAAGTTCAAACCCCATGTATGAAATTAAAGCAGTCAACGAATAATCACAACTTTACTTACCTCAAAATTATACCCACAAACCAAGAATCGAATAATTGTCCATAGGAATCAACGTAAGTATAATCGATCATGGAAAATGCGGTCAGAGATTCTAGTGTAAATTTTCGAATTCTTGGCCCTGTAAAGAACTGGCTAGAAAAATGTAAATTTAATAGTTGTTTGTGGAACGATGATCAGATAGGACCATCCTTTTCCTTGAAAATATAAAACCAAATCGGAATATATTTCGTTTTTAATAAAGGATTTTATTTCTAAAAATACGATACAAGAATTCCTACATTTAAATTTATATGATTTGTTATTACATTTTATAATAGTCAAATACTTTTTGGTAGGCGGTTTAACGGTTTACGTCAGTTTTTGACGTAACCAATATATACAATATAAATAACACACCTAAATTATAGTATTCAGAAACAAATTACCCGATCAAATGAATGCTCTGTAATAAATACGTATTTGTTTTTGTTCTGTTTTAATGTTTCGAACAATACTAAATGCTTGAAAGATAAGTTCAAAATTGAGGTTTATCCTCCTTTGTCGTAAATTTACTTTCAAGAGGCTTTTCCCAGGGGGTTGTTCCTAAATGTCTACCTTAGCGTCCGCGGGTACCGCTTGAACAACCTTCTTTTTACTCTAATTCACTATCTATTACTGCCAGGTCTTCTAATTCTTCATTATCTAAGGATTTAGAAGATAATCATTTAGAATGTACTGTAAGAGAGGTCGAGGTAAACGACCTTAGGCCATAATGGTTTGGCTTAGTTTGATTACAAAAATGACCCTTACATTGATTGTTAATTTGAAAAGTAATTCGATAATTAAAAAAAAAATAAAGGAAAATTGGCAATGGAAGAACTAATACAATCATTGCATGACGTATCGTTTTTTATTAACTTCATTTTATTTATTTTGTGAAACGGAAATCATGAGCGAAGAAAGGTTCATACATGAAAATGACATAAGTGAGTTATGAATTATAGATTTTTTTTTATTTGTGAAACAATTTATCATGTGACTAATGTCCTATCGAATGATAAAAATTCAGAAAAGAATTTTGAATCAATTTAAAAGAAGTAAATTAATGTAATCCATATTTATACAATTAAGAAAGTCCGCGGACGACAGGCCATATTACTCTTTTTTTTTTAAAAAAAAAAAAATTATAGAAAATAATATAATCTACAGGCCATAACTAGAAGGATATCTAATGTAACGTTTGTATCTCTCAATTATTCTAACATATTCTTCTTCATGATAATCAGGGTTTGATATAAGAATAGAAAATGTAGGTAGACCTTTCCAATCCTCTAAAACTTCACGTAGGGTTTTAGGTGAAAATCTAAAATCATTGATTACTCTCAGCTTAATTGGAGCGAACCTAATTAATATATCAGATAATTTTACTACAGACTCCAATTTCTTTTGTTCAAATAAATTGTCATTACATCTATTGTTTATATACTCTAAAATCAATGATAACGCCTCCAATCTTTGACATGATTTTAATAAATTTTCGAATTCAGCGTAATGACTCTTTGATGGTGGAAACACAATTGATAAATATTCAATTAAAGGACAATTTTCACAAATTATACGAATGAACAAAAGAGATTCGTCCCAAAAATGTTCATCTTGAACGTCATAAATGAATTTCTTGATTAAAATCTTCCTGAGACTTTTTCCACTATTTTTAATTAAACACATAATTGTACCAATTTCAATATAATCTATTTGAAGTATTTCAATACTATGAAAGAAGGACCTTTTTAATTGACATTCATAATTGGTTCTGGTAAACAAAGGAGAATTAAACTTCAAAGTTTTCAAGTTATGAAGTTCTGGAAGTATCAATGGTGGAAATATGTAATCGTTTCTATGAATAAGAGAATTGTCGTTATTATTAATAATGTAATGACAATTATGAAAGTTTGTCACAAGATGGAGGAGTGTATCCGCCTTTTTTTTTAATGCAAGAAAAATTTCATCATGAGAGATATTATTTACGAAATCTAAATCTAAATCATCCTTCCACTCAAAAAATTTCAAGTTTCTCTGGACCTCAATCAACCTAATGATTCCACAATTAGCTTTCACGCTCGTATGAAAAATGGTGATCCTTTGTATATCTTGACAGATTTGAGATAATCCATAAAAGAATGAATGATCAATAAACGTGTCGAATTTTATTTCACATAACGTCTTAAGACGAGCCTCGGCCCCCGGAAAGTAAAATATTTGATGCTTAATCGATCTCATATCCAAATATTTTGACTCGGGAATTTTCCTCATAAAGAGGGCGTAAATCTCTTGTTGTAAAATAAATTGTTTATAACATGTTGAAGCGCCAATAGAAGTAATTTTGTTTATAACATCTACATTGATACTTTCGCAAAAGGATAAATAATCGAATAGAAGTGACTGATAAAAAGTTGGAGGTAATCCGATTGTTAAAGATTTTTTAACATCGTCGGATAAGAGAAAAGTAATCACATAGTACAAGGAAAGTTTATATCGATAGTCTATCCTTTTGACTTCATTGTACCAAGGATCTTTCCATAAAATCGGAATTGCACATTCAAGCCAAAGTCTATTAACTAATAGGCTTGAATAAAGAGATTTTGAATCACATTGTAATCTCGTAAATATCAAGGAAAGAATATCCCTATTTAACCTGGACATTTCCAGTTTGTTAAAAAATTAAAAATAAAAACCGGAATTCTTTCTTATTATATTATCTTTTTTTTTAATCAATTTAAATACAATGTATGACTATACATTTTTGGATGTCTTATAATATGAACTGTGTCAAGTTTCAAGAAAAAGCGAGTGTGTAACGGTTATCAAAATAACAAATATATCATAAGATCACCAGACCAGGAACCTTTGATCCAAAGGTCAACCAATAAAATAAATATCTCACGGAACCCGATGGGCTTCGTTGATCTTTTATAGAACGTTACTTCTATAAACTAATATATTAATCCGCAAAATAGTTTCAACTTCATTTATGGTATGTGATATCTATTTATAATTTCCAAGATTAATTGAAATTTGTACTAACTCGATCCATATCTTAAAGAGAGATCGCAAATATTCAAAAGTAATCATACAAGTAAATTCGCGCTGTGTATTATATTGTTTGTAGGATATCTTACCTATAACATTTAATATAAGTTATTACGCATCTATTAATTCCAACTAATTATTTAAATGAAAATTGCGAAACCCTCTCGAGAGAGGGAGTTTTTAGTGAGATTAAAAGATCTAATGTCACTTTTATTGTTCGGTGAGAACCTATCTAACAATTTATAACTTTTCTCAGACAGAAATCTTTTTTACCGATAAACATACACTTGTACTTCTTGTACTTCTTTCAATTTTTGACAAATTTTTTAAATTCAAAGAAATGTTTCTTGATAAGAGGCATAAGAAGAACTGAAAATTTTCATAAAAGTTATCATAAATGTTGTATATCAAGATTAAAGATTTTTTTCGAATGATATTCTTTCGCTGGAAATAGAAATTAAATTTCCTCGTGGTGCTAACACTCCTAAATAATCAAATAAAATCGATTAGAGGCAATTGGACTCATCTACATTCTAAAAAATATTTTTTCTATCATCGGAAAAAGAGGAAGAAATAATTTTGGAACAAAGAACTATTGTCCTTAAATTGATATTATCTTTGGATTTCTCCATAAAATCGGTACAACAGTTTACACGAACGAAAAAAGAGATTTTTGAAACATTTAATTTATTCTTTAAATAACATGACATGAACCAATCAAACTCATCAAAGTCGTACATGACTTTTCCTAATCAGTCAACACCTAATAAATATAAGAATTTAGAGTTAGCGTGAATTAGGTAACACAGTAAAATCTTATTGGGCTAATTATTACTTACACATTAATTAAATTTAATTAATTTATGACTAAAAAATGTTTCAACCTGTTAATTTTATCAATTTATATGCACCCCACATTTGAAGAAATTAAAATGTTTATTTTCACATTTTTTGAAGTACCCACTGTCAAAATCTTTTTTTTTTTTCGTATACACAATTACAACTACTTGAGATTCATTAAATGTAGCTAATTAATCGAAACATTACATATTTAAAATCTTTAATCACGCCATCAATTTTGTATTTGCTAATTATCTTTACGTATTCCTCTTTTTCATAATCATGGTCTGATGTAAGTATCAAAAGAGCGGGTCGACCTCTCCAATTTTCTAAAAATTCCTCTAGAATTATCGACGATAATTTAAAATAACCCAAAAACCTAATTTCTCTTAAATTAATTGGTGCGGACCTAACCAAAACATTTAATAATTTCTCACCGGATGAAAACCTTTTTCCTTCGATAAACTTATAATCATTTACATCATTAATACTTTCGGAAATCTCCAATAATAATACTTTCAATTTTTGACAAGTTTCAAGTAATTTTTCAAATTCAAAAAAGTGCTCTTTTGATGATAAAAATGTTAGGGTCAAATATTCAACTAGAGGACAATGTTCATAAATCGTACGAATAAGGATAAGGGATTCTTCATAAAAATTTTCATGAAAGTTATAATCATCGATCAAAATTTTTCTAAGTCTTCCACCGCAATTTTTAATTATGCAAACGACCGTGTTAATTTCAATAAAATCTATTTGAAAGTATTCTAGGTTATGAAAGGTTGAATTTCTTAATTGATCCTCGAATTCGAGATAAGAAACGTCAATCTTTAATGTTTTTAAGTTGAGGAATTTTGAAAATTTTATAATTAAAGGTGTGTAATAATATTCATAATAATACAAATTTATTACAAAATGAATTAACGTATCTGCTTTCTTCATTAATGCAAGGAAACTTTCTTTATAAATATCTCTTGTAAAATCTAAATCATCAATATCATTAAAATCATCCTTCCACTCAAAATATTTTAAATTTTCCTGAGCTTCAATCAGCTTAACAATCCCATTATTAGAAGTTACGCTGGTATTAATAACGATAAGCCTTTGTACATATTTACAAATGTTCGCCAATCCATAAAAGTATGTGGGATCAATTGATGTATCACATTTTAATTCACATAGTGATCTAATTCGAGCCTTTGCTTCTGGAAAAAAAAAGATTTGATGGTGAAGTGATCTCATATTTAAGTACTTTAATTCCGGACATTTTCTCATCAAGAGACTGTAAATTTCTTGTTGCAAAAGAAATTGATTGTAAGTTGAAGTACAACCAATAGAAATTATATTGTTGATAACATTTACATTAATACTCCTGCAAAAGAATAAATAATCAAATAAAGGTGATCGATATGAAATTGGAGGTAATTGTACTCCTTGAATTCTTAGAAATTCCTTGATATCATTTGATAAGGAGAAAGAGATAAGGTAATATAGAGAAATTTTGTTTCGATAATTTACATTGTCTTCATAACGCCAAGGATTCCTCCATAGAATTGTTAACGCGGTTCCAAGCCAATTTTTATTAACTAAAAGACATGAAAATAGGGACTTTGAATCATCTCGCAATTCCTCGAATAAAAGGAAAAGAATATCTTTATTGAGTTTAGACATTTTTGTTTAAGATCAATATGTAAGGCTTTTTTAAAATCAAAGAAAAAAGAAAGAAGGAAATTTGAAATTTTAGAGTCTCAAAATTCTTTAAACGAAAGTCGTTCAAAGTACCTTTAATTATAAATATAACTTTTTAAAAAGGAAAAGTTTTCATTTTTGTATTTATATAATATATGTATGACTAATTTTTACAACATCAATGTTTTCATTATACATCTTTATCACGTGAATTCATGTGATTTCGTTAATCACGAAAATCATCTCAGAACCCGTTAAAGGATTGTTAAAAAATTGAATAAATTGACAGCATATTGCGATTTCGAACATAAAACTTTGAGTTTGATTAACAGGTTCTATTCTGTTTATCACGTACAAAAGTTCCACAATTTCTCCGTCGTGGTGAGTTATCTATTTGGATGTTCAAATAATATATCTTTATATCCTTTTCACTGTCTGACTATTTGATCCACCTGCGACATATCCATACCGCGACGAACCAACAGAATTTTCAATATATCTATTGTTAAAGTTACTTACAGACGCGACAGACTATATTTTTTTTATCTGCATCATCATTACAAAATTTCCGACAACGATCACGAGATCAAATGCCGCAGCAATTTTTTTAAAGATGATGCGCATCATTCAAATTTTTATTATTTACATTGATTATGAGATATTATTACGTAATATTATTTAGTAAATGATTTGATACAATCAAATAAATGCCAACTAAAATAAAAAATAAAAAAATAAAAAAATCTTTAATCTATATATCATAACTAAAAAAAATATTCCCCGCGGCACCACATTTGAAGTCTTTAATTACACCTTCATTCTTGTATTTTGTTATGATTTCCACATACTCTCTCTTATTATAATCAAAGTCCGGTGTAATAAAAGAAAGCGCAGTTCGGCCTCTCCAATTTTCTAAAAAGGACCTCAAGGTTTCCAATGAAAGTTTGAGACCAGCACTATGAAAATTAAATCTAATTTCACATAGTTGATTTGGTGCTGATTTAATCAATGCTCTTAACAACTTTTCTCCAGATGCTAACTGATTATGTTTTCGTAAATTAGGTTCTCTTGTATAAGCATCTATATTTAATAATAACTTCTTCAACTTTTGGCAAGTTTTTAGTAATTTGTTGAATTCAATGAAATGCTCAATTGTTGATGGAAATGCAAGTGTCAAATATTCGATCAAAGGACAATTTTCATAAATTGTACGAATCAAGATAAGAGTTTCATCATAAAAGTTATCTTCATCAATATCACAATAATCATCGATCAAAATTTTCCTGAGTTGTCCTCCACCGTTTTTAATTATACAAATTAACGTATTGATATAAATACTATCCAATTGAAGAATTTCAAGTTTGTAATAGGAGGTATTTTCCAATTGAAATTCATACTCGCCTCCACTAAAAGGTGGGAGATTAAATCTTAAAGATTTCAAGTTGTGAAATTCTGAAAGTATCTCCGGTGGGAATGTGCGATCATTAAAACGACAATAATCATAAGAATCATAATAAATCTTTGCTATAAAATGAATAAGGGTATCCGCTTTTTTCCTTAATTCCAGAAAACTTTCTTTATAAATGGCTTGTACTGCTGCACAAGAATCATAATCATCATCCCACTCAAAATATTTCAAATTCTTTTGAACCTCGATTAGCTTGACAATTCCATAATTAGGAGATGTGCTTTTATTGATAATGATGAGCCTTTGTATATAGTAACAGATCCGTGCTATCCCATAAAAGTATGAAGGATCAATACAAGTGTCGCAAGTTAATTCACAAAGTGATTGAAGATGATCCGTTGCGTTCGGAAAATAAAAAATCTGGTGTTTAAGTGATCTCATATCTAAATACTTTATCTCTGGGCATTTCCTCATGAAGAGACTGTAAATTTCTTGTTGTAAAATAAATTGATTGAAAGCTGTTGAATTAGATCCAATAGAAATCATATTGTCAATAACTTTTGCATTAATACTCCTGCAGAAGGATAAGTAATCAAATAAAGGTGATTGGTGTGATATTGAAAGTAATTTTTGGCTTATTAATAATTCTTTTACATCGTCAGGTAAAAAGCAAGTGATAACGCGGTATAAAGAATCCTTGTTTAGATGACTTGTATAGCTCCAAGGATTCCTCCACAGGATTGGGATTACGGTTTCAAGCCAAAATCTATTAACTAAAAGACAAGAAAAGAGCGACTTGGGGTCATTTTCTAATTCCTCAAATAACAAGAATAAAATATCTTTATTGAGTTTGGACATTTTATTAAAAAAATGATAAATTTTTGTTGAAACTTTTCCAGTGTTTACATTATTATTTAGGAGGGTAGGAAATTACCGGCAGCTCAGCGACGGAGACTTCACGTGATGATTAATTTTTGGTCGATCATGCCGGGTCATTTTCGAATTCTGATGTTACGAGAACCGAAAATCAAGTTTTGTCCGGTCCAATTGATCGATCAAGCTTTTTTGAGACAATTGAATACTTAACTAGAAATTGAGAAGTGAGAATAGGCTACAAAATTCATTGAATAATTAATTGGGACAATTCGAAAGAAACAATTTACTGTATATGCGGATTGATCGATATTGATAAATTACTAATTTTAATCAAAAATTCAATTATAAAATGGATTAACAACATTGATTTAATGAGATTATAATATTTACTTTCTTATTATGAATAATAATAACTCGTTAACTGATTCAGATCGCTAGTAATTTCGATTACCAAAAAAAATCACTCATTAGGAACCGGGATGCTCTTTTTTTTTTTTTTTTTTGGAAATCTTGGTTGGGTGGGGTTTAAAAATTATCCTTACCTCCTCAACATAATCAATCTCTACAAGATGCAAATAAATGTGACTAACCCACCAATCTATAAACAGATCTTGTATTTTTTTTTGAGTTACAACAGATTCTTTACTTTTCATCAATAGATACTCTTATTTTAACAATGATATTATACATAGTCGTATTTCTTCAGGCCATCCACACAACTACAAACTTGCAAGAAAAGCAGCTTTAGGCGATTTATCAAAATAATCAAACAGAATATCATAAATTGTTTATAAGGTTGCGCGTATTTTTACGAAGATCAGGCTGCTGCTACTTCATCAGATATCAGATTCATCATCAGAGCCTCCTTCATAATTTTGTCATTCATAATAATCATCAATCATCATCTATAAAAAATCTTATTAATTAGAATTAATTATTCTTAATAACTTAGTTAAATATGTTTTAGAAATAATTACTTACCATTTTTCAATGCATGCTTCATGTTTTAACAACAAATCTGGTAAAATCATATTTTAATACGTGAATGGCTAGATACAAGTGAGAGCAAATACTTTTGTCCGTTTGCTTCCTCAATTGGTTTAAGATCAATTAATATATTTAAAAGATCCCATTCATAATCTTTAAGGTCGATTCTTTAATTTCTTGTATTCCTTTCTAGCATCATATCATTATAATTTAAATTTAAGATGAACTGTTGAATTTGATCCTTTAGCACGTGTAATCTTTTCCAAGAAGTTAAAGGTTTACCCCAATCGAGCATTATCATCATCAATATTCCTTGATTCCTTCCTTCTAATTGTTCATGATTCATTTGTATTGAATTATTTAAATTTATAATATTTCCTTTTGACTTTCCGCGTCTAATTCCAAATTCTCTTGCGCTTCTTCCAATAGTTCATTTTGTTTGAATTTTTTAAAAAAAAACAAGACTAATCTTTAAACTTTTCCAGTCCTTTAGTTACAAACTATGTGCACTGCATGGAACACGATCTAAGATAGCAAATATATCCGGATTTTGCATTAGAAGTCCAAAGATCAGTAGCTGTTTCACAAGTTGTTTGATGATATCCCTTATAGACTGACATGAAACTTGATAACCGCAATCAATATCTTTTTAATTATTACATAACATGTCGGAGATCAACTTTTTCCATTTGCCGAGAGAATCTGTTTCAAGCCAGTCAGCTGCAATTCGCGTTGTTTATGTTCTTTACGTGGTATTACTTTTCTCACTTGTTCACCTGTCATTTAAAGTGAAATGTTAAATATACAAATTACAAACCAATTTAAGAATTTATAATCATGAAAAATAATATATACCTTTTTTTTTCAAACGCTTTATGAAAGGAATTTAAAAGATATTGCTAAGTGATAGTTTGAGTATTATATAAATATATACACAGCCATAGTCACATACCTGTTTTACGCGTCTATCTTCAGGTTTTTATCGATTAACCATTGTGATTATAGCGATCGTTGTGATCGTGGTTCTTATGGTTTGTTATGAGGATGTATTATTATAATTATGAGTTGATAATTAAGCACAGAGTCTGTGCGCGCCTTATGTTTCATATCAACCTAATTTAGAAAGTTCGTGATTTAACGCCAGATTGCCTTATTTAATAAATTGTGTGTAAAATCTACTACCAATAGAAAATAAAGTTGAAGTTCTAAATTACTTTAACATAATAAATGTTAGAATTCACTTATAATTTTTTTTAATGCAAATTTTTTTTGCGAATAATAAAACATTACATTTTATTCATAAATCCAAAATTTATTAACAAGTTGCAAATTGTATTATACATTGCAAACAAGAATAATGCTATGTTATTAGTCATTCAATAATATGATTACAGTCAACAACTTTTCACATTTTATTGACGCGTTGATTTTAGCTTTTTTTTTGTTTGAACCTTAATGAAGATCGAAGGAACTTAACTTTTACATTGTCTCCGAAGTTCAACTGCAAAATAATTAAAATTTATATTCGTTTCTCACTAGTAAATTATTTATTGGATTCCTTGTTTTAAATTACGGAAACGCATCCTTTCATCAAAATTTGCAGGATTCATTAACAATTTAAGGAGAATAAATGCCTTTTGAAATTCGTATTACTTCTTTGGCTTTTTTTACTTAAACGAGAGTTTGCGTCTTAACTATATCTTGAAATAATTATGATTCAAAGTAAACAATCGCTAAGACAATGGAACTTTCAAAATTAATATGTAACATTATATTCAATGAGTAAAATCATATTAAAATTATCCATTCCGCGTGTTGTTGAATTTCATAGTGCCGACTGGAGTTAAGATTTTTCATTCTAAATTTTTGTATATATTTAAGAACCAACTTTTTAATAAGTTAATCAATAGAATTTTCGGAACACGATATATAGTGGTCATGAAAAATGAGGATTCATGATTGTAAATAGTGGAAAAATGTAAATTTTCTAAAATTATTTTAGACGCACTCATTAAAATTTAATGTACCCAAGGCTTATTATACAATTAATTGTGCGTGACATATATAAAAGTCGATTGGTTATGTAAGAATCATTTAATTTTTAACCATTTATGTAAATATAATTATTTTGTCCGAAGCGTAAGCGAAAGACTATAATTCTAGACACGCATTGACTCCGCGTTCTCCCCGCTCAAATATTGAGCCTACGTGATTGGTTACTTGCTCCGGACTTAGCAACGGTCCCCGTTCATAATGCGTGAGTACGAAACAAAATTCAAAGCTTATTATTGGGTGGATCATCTTAATTCGGTTATTCTGGCCTGAATGTAGGTCTTGGGCTGTTTTTTATTTCCCCCTTCAAACCCCAAAATATCTTTATTTTGTACTATTTTTTGATTATATTCTTTTTTTGTTATTTAATAATATTTTAAATTAAAACAGGTAACATATTATATCAATAGAAAAAAAATATATAATTCGTTCTAGTATAACTTACACAACTTAAATAATATATATAGTTTCATTACTTGGCGATAATAATTGACCAATTTGAACATTATATTATATTATAAAAAAAAAAATAACAAGAACGCACCAATTTGGAAATTTCTCGCGGACTTTACGGAAACAAACCGTAATTTAATTTGTGAAAAAAAAACGGCCAAAGTTCGCTTTTCTTATTTTTTTATTTTTATTTTTATTTTATTTTTTTTTCATCACATTTAAAATACGCGAATCATCATCCATCTTATTTGTCAAAGTCACAATAAAGCCACTTGTATGAGAATTCCCGAGAACAATTTTCGAATATGTAATGTTTGTAACACATTTAAAAAAGATTTTTTTTTTTTAATTTTAAACAAACCAAACCCTTGATGAATATGTTTTGTCAATTAGAATTATTCCTACAGCTGATTCGTTCTCAATTGAATAAGGTTATGAAAACAACTTATTGTTATAATTTTTGTTGTAAACCCCAGCTTCTTTTCTTTGGGGATTTGTTTCGTTGTACTTATTAAAACAATTTTAGTCATTAGAGAAAGGAAATGAATTTTAAGGGATGAATTGTAATTAAATTTCATGCAACCCAGAAGACTATGAGATTTAAATGCACAAGTAAACAAAAAACTCCGGAGTTAATGTGTTTTACTCATATTATATTGGTTTACATGAAAAAAAAAAGAAAAAAAAATTACATGCATCACATCACCATACAACATTTTAGGGGGCTGTGCTCAATTCATCGTCGGAATAAATTAAACATAATTATGGATATTGTTATAATATCCCTGAAAATCGAACATTATTGATGCCCCTTCGCAATTATGCCGCACACACCACTAAATCCCATGGTCATGCAACATAATTCACATGCTTACGTAATTGCTTGGCGTTCAATACAACCCCTACTTTAAAAACTTTTTTTTTTAATTTGGAAAACAATAAATACGAAAAAAAATATAATTTTTTATTATTATTTATTATTATTATTATTTTTTTTTTTTGATTCTCACGAAAAAAAAATAAACATGGCGTAAAAAAATTTGAAACGAGGGTTAATATGATACCTTCTAAATTCAACCTAACTCGGAGTGTATTATTCCGATGGATTTCAACGAATGAAAGCCCTATTAACCTTCACATGGTCAAGCACTTTTTTTTAAAAAAAAATCAAAAACATATCAACCACCTTGCCTTAAAATAAAATTTAATTTGTTACAAAGAAAATCTCTGATTTATTTTGTGATTATTTATTTGACAAGTATAATGAGAAAAATAATATTTAACAAAAAATAAATAAAGAAATTCCTAGGATCTATTCGCTCATCTATTAAATTATTCACTCAGGATAATTTCCCATTATCATTTATAGGATAAATACATTTAAGGAAAGAACAAATCAATGGAATCATTCGATAAATGAACAAATTCGAAAAAAATAATTTTAGAATATTAAACAAATATTCTATATTCTTGGCTTTATTTCCAACTTGAATAACATATGATGTTCTCATATGATACTTTTAAGTGATGACCCTGGAACTTTGTCACTCCTCTTTTTAGGTTTACGATTTGATACAGATAATTATTTACATGATAATTTAATCAACCAAAAGAAAACATTAAAGTTAACCAATGACAGCAGCGAGATTTCTTATTATTAAGTATTTCGGGATTAATATATCATTTATGCTTATTGCTGCAGGTTTTATTAATTAAGTAAGTTGGCGAAAATATTAATTGTTGTCAGAGATCAAATCAAATTGATGAAAATGGATAATTTTAATTATATGTACTTTAAAGTTTAGGTTTTTTTTTGTATGAATTACTACTAATGACAAGTCGCAATTTCTTTGGTGCATGATTATTGCAACTCGCCAATTTTTACAGTGTTAATTATATTCTGAATATATGAAAGAAAAGAAAGCTGTCGGTTCATACGGAAATGGTTTTCAATAAAAAGCTGTAAAGGGAAAACCTAAACGAGCGTACGTTGTAATCATAATACTACGGATAAATATAATCCCATGAACAATCAATCCATCAACAATAAATATTGAATTGTCTAAAAAATCGGGTCTTAACATAATCGGGAGGTTATTACACCTCAAAATGATTAAGGGTTGTTAATAATCAATTTTGAAAATCAAATAAAAATTCCCGAGAATAAACATTTCTCTTTTTACCCCTTTTTAGTAAATGCTGACCTTTGAAATCATTATCACAAGCCATATTTTTTTTTTTTCTTCTCAAAACTATCAAGTTTTGGTTAGAGAAATAAAAAATGTTAAACCATACATGATGCACAATGCATCCATGATTTTTTGCCACAAAGAATGACTCATTTACACATTGTAAGATAGCTTTGACCATAAGGGAAAACAAAAGAATTTGTTTATTTTATTTTAACAGATTTTTATTCGTTGAAAAAAAAGCAAAGCATTAATAATAATAAATAATAGATCTAATCAAATACCATTCGACAAACAGGATTCACACCCGATTTTTTTAAAAAATAAGTTTTCGACGAACCATGTCAATTTCGGAATATTCCGGAATTGTGTTTTATCAATCCGCATATTCATTGGTTGTATATTATTATTATCAAATTTATCAAATCTTTTACATCGATTTGTGTTGGATGAAGATAATAATGTCTTTGTTTGTTTGTTAATATAATGTGATCAATTTTCTTGTTAACCTTTATTTGTGTTCGATTAGTTGTAACATCCCGGTATAGATAAGAAAAAAAAAATGAAACGAAACACCGAATCAAAATACACGTGAAGTTGATTAAATGCGAGCGAATAACGTTAGAAAATATAATTAAAAATTTGACTCTGTGTCAAAATTAAACCACCAACGCATACTGCAAATGTAATTAGCGAAATCCTCAAAGATAAGGAAGATCATAACATGTTTGTGACAAAAAATTGTTTTTAAAATCATTTTTTTCCGAATATTTGTGTTTATTTTTTATTATTTTACCGTCTGCAAAATGCAATTTGTAAAATTTTCCTCTTGAAAAGGCTACATGTGATAAGGTTCCTCTTTTTTTTTTAAGAAATTTCCGAATATTTTGTGTTTGATATTTATTACTTTTATCGTCTGTCGTGTTAATGTATTATTTTTATTTCTTAAATAATATAAATCTTCATTTTCCGAACATGATGTACTTTATTTTTATATTAACTTCTCTAACGTTAAATACATATATAGTTCTGACGTACCATCCAGCTATTAAGAGTTTTTCCCGATGATCACATGCGCTCTAAAGTAAAAAGTAAAAAGCATAAGAATGTTAGTTATATCAGAAATATCAAGAAAATCACTTACAAATTTATAAATTCGTAGTGTAACATGAGAGATTTCGATTTCTTTTAATCAAAAAGGTTTTCGAAATGAAATAATGATAATAATAATTATTTTTTATAATAACCACTATTATAATTAATATTATATTAAAATAACGTGTGTCTATCTAAATCTGGCATGTTGATCTCTAAGCCCGAGCTGAGTGAAGGAAATGAAATGTCTGTGATTGATAAACCACCATGAGATGTATCTTTTAAACTTTAAAAACGAGAATTCGTTCTTGAATTTTGTCTTTGACAAAAAAACCATGATCGTCACTGTTAAATTCCGAATATATTCTTATTATTATATTTTTTTTAATATAATATTTATATACACATACTGTTAATCCAATTATGGTTAATTTATTTTTTGATTGATATAATGGCATTATATTTATATTATTTCACCATAAAAAAAAATTATTTCTTCTTTTTTCCATAAAAAATAAATACTGCTATTGTATTTTAAGTTGATTAGATTAAAAGTTATTTGGATTGCGGCCGAAAGGGCGTAGATAATAATTTATTTTAATTAAGCATTTAGAACAAAGCAAACTGTGCATTCAGCTATCAAGGTTTGGTTAACATTTGATATTCATGATTATGTTCGATTTTTGGACAGTTGAATGAACATTTCTTATCAAAAAGTTCTAGGCTTTATTTGATTGATAGGGAATGTGAGACGGCTGAGACGGCTGAAGGATTTAATCGGTCGCGTTCCTGATACAGTGACAAAACAAGGGAGAGGTTGTGCTATTAAAATAATGTTCGATCATAATATGATTTATTATGGCTCGTAACTTGATTTTAATGTTAAAATTTCCCAAGTCGCGTTCTAGTTTTCGAAAAAAAAAAAAAAAAAAAAAAAGGGTGGAAATAAACAAAAGACATCATTTACCAAAATTACTAAAAATTATCAACGAAGGAACCATAACTTGACCATTTATTTGTCTTTAATGACAAGACCATATGGGCGTTTTGCATTAGAAAAGAAGAAAACTCTAAAAAATTTTTTTTTGAGTTAAAATCATATTTAACATATAATTTTTTGCAGTTATCATTCAAATAGCATTCATTGAACGATTTTTGCAATTCTAAAAATACATAAAAAAAGGGAAGGTAGAATAAATAATTAAAAACGAGAGTTTTACCCAAAAATTTTCACGTCATTACAATTTGTTACACCAATTTATCATGAGCCAATTATTTCTTGCCAAATAAAAATAACTCCATATAAGTTAACCTGGCGTTTTCAAAAAAGTCCTTGAACATTCTCTACATATTAAAGACATTTAAGTTATAAATGGAGATATTTTTTCGTCTTCAAAAAAAAAAAAATCTTTTTCCATACGAAGTTATATATATGTATTTGTTTTTGCTTTCAAAGAAACTCTTTTTTTCTCATTAATTCAACATTTTTCAATGAAAGAAGGTTTTGTTTAAATTGAATTCATTTTTATTATTATATATTAACTATTCTTTACCAAAAAAAAAAATTATAAAATTCACGTGCACATTTAACTGTGGTTAAAATAAAATAAAGACAAACATATTCTTTCAAGTGTGAAAAAAAAATTATCAGTAAAGGGGAAAACCAAAAAATTATATGTACACACACGAAGATTCGAAAAAAAAAAAAAATACAAGTATCATAAAACTACAAATTAAAAGGATTTAATTGGTGATACACATTAGTACAAGGATAAAAAGGATTGAGGTAACGATATATTATATATATATATATATATTTCTTTTTTTTTTATAATTATTCCTAACCGTCGTAAGGCTTCTTAAACCAATCAAGGTTTTGATAATCATAATATAATGAAGGGAAAAAGTAAAAACCAGCACTTTGATCTCCATTGTTGAAATCCGGGTACCATTCATTTCGTGGTGATTCTTGTGGGATCATGGGTGTTATGGGTGTTAAATAATCGAAATCGATTCCGATACATGGATTAAGGATCATGTCAGAACTTTGTGCAATATAGTCCTGCGGTTCACCAAGTTCTATAGATTTAGGAGAGATACTCTCATGTTGCTCTTGTTCTTGAGCAGGAGGGCTAGATTCCGTACTTACTGGAAGTACAGGTAAAGTCTTCTTGGCTTTTCTTTTAGATTTTTTTTTCTTAATAAGAGAATCGGGCGTAGTTAGAATAAAGTCGCCATCGAAAGTTTTTCTCTTTCGTCTTTCATATGTGTAATCTGGATATGTTTCTTTGTGTTTCTGTTTAAGCACTCGAGCAATTCTTGCATAACCTTCTTTTTCGTCGAGGGAAGCCCCATGCCAAATGTATGATGCAAAGCGAGATAGGTTTTTTCCGTCGTCAGATAAATTTGCTAATTTCGCAACATGTGCGAGCTGTCGACGGAAAACGATAAAGCTATTCATCTCCCTTGGTGCAGTAGACTTTGTTGGCATTTTCAATTCTTCGATTGTGCGAGGACAAGGAAACAAGTGGTCCCTTGATAACTTTTCAATACAATTCCTATCAGCATCAATAGGCTCATTGCCTGCTTTATCTTTTAAGGACCAAAGTTTTGTCGAATCCATGATTAAAAAAAAATTTTTTTTTTTTTTATTGGTAGTTAATTGTGTGAAAGTGTGAAAGGAAAAATCTTTGTTTATGAGAAGAAAAAAATGTATTGTAGGGAATTTTTTTTATTATTTTTTTTTTGTTTGGCAACGATGAAGAAAATGAAAACAGGAAAAAAAAACAGTCGCTTTATACGTGAATTTTTTTCGAGACCATAAAAATGTTTTTAATTATTATGAAGGGTTTGGATGTATTATATATATATATAAAAAAAAGAAATTAATTAAATAGAATTTTTTTATTTATTACTGTGCTGTATATTATATATAAAATAAAATAAAAAAAAAATTAATCAAACTTTTTACACCAAAAAAAAAAAAATAAAATAAAAATGAATAAAAATAAAAAAAAAAAAAAAAGAAATAAATAAAAAAAAATAAAATAAAATATAAAAAAAAAAAACTAATCTTAAAAAAATTCGGAACATAAAGTAAATGACGTTACTCATCAATAATTAAAACAGTTGACTTAATGGATGTTTCTTGTTACACAATAGGAAAATTACACAAACTAGTAATAATAAAAAAAATAATTCTTGTCACATGGGCAATGTCAGCGGTTCGAAATTATTTTTTATCACAAGTAGATATTTTGTAAAATAAAAACAATTCCCTATTGACTCATCATAATAAATCTTCGCATAAGAGATTTTTTCAATTCTATACGATTTCGAATCAATTTAAGAACCCTTTTTATTTGATTCTTTTTTATTTTCAGTGTCTTTAGTGTTTCGGGATAATCGAAAAACATTGGAAACAGAACGTGTAACCGACCATCCTTTTGTAGAAATTAAATAATCTTCATTAATTCAATTCATTATTTTCTTTTTCTCTGTGGAATGTGTTGTGTATTCCAATTTTAGTCGTTCCGAAACTTATCATTTGCAACATTAAAGATTGGCTGTTGTCATTTAATTAATTGAACCCTTACATCTTATAAGATGCGGATGGAACATAGATAATTAACATGAATTATTACTATTGATTGGTTTGAAAATTTCCGTAATGGCGGCGAAACGACATAATATAAAACTTAGTAACCTTCGGAGTTATCGATCCTCAAGATTGAATCCTTTTGTTATGATGACTAATATGTTTTCGATAAACAAATGTTTAAAGTTATCGTGTTAGAGATCAAATTGATTATGCATGGGTCATTTGATTTTACATGATTTATTTGATAAGCATTCAAAACTCTTCGTTTCGATAAATATAGAACATTGTTTATTTTGTCATAAGACATTTTGAAAGCATTTTGGTGCTTGGTCATTTGATTTAATTAGTATTCTTGTTCCGATGAAACCGATAACGATTTTTTTTTTTTTTTTTTGATTGTAGTTTCCGAATTTTAAGTTTATAATCTGAAAATTTGAGAATAATATCTTTATTTTTTCCTTTGTGTTGTTATCTTGAGATTTTTCGAATGGGGGGTTTTTTTAATACTTAAAATTGACATGTAGTTGGCTTACTCTCGGGGATAATAAATAGTGAAAAAAATTTATTTTATCACTGTGATAATAATAATATAATAATATATTATTTATAGTTTGACTTAAAAAAAAAAGGTTGTGACTGTTTCAGAATATATTAAAATAAATTTAATTTATATTAGATGCATATATGTGCAAAATTTACACAATAACCTCCTTAAATGTCAATCATCAATCATCAATCCCCACCCCAACAATACGTACAACCTTACACTTGAGGTTGGGCTTAGTTATGACCCAACGGTACCCCCCAACGGTTATATCCAAATTAATTTGTCACCTCCATGTTATATTGGAATTTTTCGGGTGGGTGTGGTGTGAATAAATTCTAATTGTCATGGTTAATTTCTTAATGTCATAATGCCGGCCAATGTGAAATTTGTGGTCAAACACATACCAATTTCCTCACTTTCTTACCCCCCCCCCCCCCCCCCCACCCAAAAACGACATTTCATATTTAAAAAAAGTTGCATCAATATCAATTTTTAATAGATTCATTCTTTATTCTCTATCATTTTATTATCGAAGTAATAACAACACTTCAAATTATAATTTTAAAAGTGCAGAAATTATATATAGTAAAAAGATTTCATATGCCAGGTTAATAAAATTGAAATACTTCGTTTAATCTATCCAATTATTTTTTTAAATTTCTTGAATGAGGGCATTATGTAGATATCGGCAAAACTCTCATGAATAAACGTCATAAATGCACTCCCAAAAAGGATGATGCATTTATAGAGTTGACTGTGATTGGCTTCTTGTGATTGACTAATAATAATAAGATGCTTTATTGCTTATTAGGCGTACTTTGCGTACTATTGTTTTTTGACGAATTATTTTCAATTAAAGGTAAGGCAAATATTTTACATATAGCGTAGTGGAATCCCAATAGATATTTTAATGATTAACTATATTAAAATTCAAAAGAACAAATATTCAAAAAAAATAAAAGCGAGCAATGTACAGTAGTTAAAATAATTTAGTCCATGTTCCTTAATTCCTTGAACACCCAATTGGTTAATGGATTATGTTTCACAAAATTCTCGCGTAAAACAAGCAAACAACTTTTAACCATTATAATTAGAAATGGAAACCATTTTTTTTTAAAAAACATTTCTTAACATAATTGGAAAAGGATCTTTGTCTTTTTTCTATAATAGTAAATGTATTGTCGTGATGATATTACGAAATTTATGAATTATACACGAATGCTCTAAATTCTTTGTCATATCAACTCTGCTTGCTTGTATTTTATTTCCCGAGCTTAACTATAAATTAATATTATTCCTTTTCTTAAATAAATACATAAATAAATAATAAAAAAAAATAAGCGGAACATATATATATTCAAGAATAAGAAACGTTTATTTATTTACTTGGAATAAATAAACAAACAACAACACTTCCTGGGAAAGCAATTTTTGGTTTCATACGAGGGAAAAGTTTTACTTTAACAATACAACTTTGATATTTAAACTTTCGGATACACCAATAGAACAAAAAATTTATAATGTATAAATTTTTTTTTGATAAAAGATAGAAAAATAGATGGTGATGTTTGAATGATGTGTGATAATGAATAGACAACAGTATTATCACGATTAATTTAAAAAAAATAACAATTGAGGAAAAATAATAAAGTTTAATTTAAGCATATAGACGGAAAATCAAAAAAGGTGCAAACTTAAATTACTTGATGTATAAAGGTTAGGGGATTTTGTCTCAGATTATTCACTGAGTCAAAGCCATCATTGTTATGCTGTTATTCAGAATATTTATAGTAAATCAGAAGATTCTGATCGGAATTGAAGGCATCGTGTTCAATCCTATTCTAATTAAATATTATGATAAATTAATATCTAAGATTAAACATGATTGTTTAATTGTTTATTTATTTTTTCCTAATGATCCGAATCCGAATAAATATTTTCCATTTAGAAACTAAGGGGTTTTGGACATTCATCAATAATTTATTGACATATATAAATGGTTACGATAGATTTTGAGATCAAAGGCGCGATACACAGAATTTAACACGTTAAAAAGAATACGTCTAGTTTGCATTTGCATTAAAATCAACATAATAAATTAAGGTCACATATTACATGGTCACTGTGTAATGAAACTTTAGCTTAATAGGAGACCCAGGGATGCCCGATCCAAAAATTAAAGGTCACATTTTTAATCATATCTCATATCACGTGTTTACGAATAAAATAAAAAATGGTAACCTAAAAAAGTTGATCCGTGTTTATTTTCCATGTTATTTCTGTGAAGGGCTCATTTTTACGGTATTTTTAACCTTAAAATCACGGAAATTTTCAGCTCATCTACATGGATATCGTGAAAGGCTCGTTTTCACGAAATTTTTACAGAAATAATGGAAATATTCAGGCAAAAGATTTTTATAGGGTAGATGGAAGGATTTGTCTTTTAATTACACGATCCAAGCACATAATAAAATTTGTCAACACTTCAAAGATAAATGTTTCGAAACGACTATTAATATGCAGGCAACAGCGAAAAAAAAAGTACTGGACAAAATCGCGTTATATCGAACTTTTTTTTATCTTTCAATTCATTTTTGCAAGTAAACTCTCGATATAGAACGATCACCTTTTTTATGGTGAAAAGATAGGCAGAAGAATAGAAGAATTCAATATGTATGAGACGGCACCAGGTACGTTATAAGGCTTTTACACAAAGAATTCCTTTACTTATGAACGATAGCTGGACCAACAAGTCATTAAATATTTAGTTTTTTGAACATACATTAACGTACACGTATTTTTGTTACATTCATGAAAGAATTTTGATACTACGACAAATTAACGTCCTTTTATATTAAAATACAGCTTTCTGTGATCATGAGAACCATGATGAACTTTGAAATTAGGATTTCACCATTTATTCTAAAATGTCGCAAGATAAACTAACTGGTTTATTTCAAATGAATTTCAAAGTAGGAAATCATTTTAATACTTGTATTCATTACTATTTATATATTTATATCAACAATAAGGGTCTCATGACAATTTAATTGAAATTTTATTTTTTTTTTCTTTGAAAAAATAAACTTAATCGGATTATTCTAACTAATAATAACGAGTCTAACATAAAGAAAAAAATTCAATTTCCTGAATCGGGTTAATAGAACCACAAAAAAAAAATGTGGTCATAAAAAAAACCTACGACATAATTGTATTATTGTAAAGTTAGTATAAAATATCAAAAATCATACCTCGCCAACAATGAGAGAAAGAAAAAAAACCATGCAATATTATCTCATGATTCCCTAATTTGGGACGGATTTTTCATAAGTTGATGATTTTGGGTGTTTCAGCCCTTGCACACGTTTAGTACAGCATATCTTTAGTAAGAAAAAAGCCACAAATCATGAGGGATAAGCGCATATATAAAAGGGATTATTGACATAAAAAAAAATAAGAGTTGCACATATTTATCATCTAATCTTTTTTCTTTCTTCTTAAAAAAAAAAAAGAATTTTGATTAAGTTGTAAAATTTATAATTGGTCAATTCTTTGTAACACTTAATATAAATAAATAAGCAACTGACCATAGTACCCCCCAACTTGCATAATCTCAGCTTTATGACATATTTGCGTGGATTTTTTTTTTTTAAAAAAAAATAAATTTTTTTATCCAATTAGTACAAAGTAACAAAATTACGTAGCATCCTTACTTTTTATGAGTGAGCAATGTGGACCAAAGACTTTTTGAGGTGATTTTCTAAACACAAACCAATTTCAAACTAATTTTGACATAACGTTCAAAATCTTTGGTCCGACATCATAATAAATTTCAGATCGGTCAAGATAAAATAAATGTTTTTTTTTTTTAAAAAAAAGGACTCCTCCACAAATATCTACTCGATCAGTCTTGATACTTTAGAAAAAACGTCTTTTGCTATACGCCGAAAGGTTTGCTTAGTCGCACAAGATACATTAAGACCGAAGATTTAGATTTATTAATGACTAAGCATTTTCTTCCCAAAAAACAAAATAGAGAATACAATGATTTGAATCTGTATTAATAACTATTATAACTTCAAAATTTTTGCTATGATTGATAGCTGATCAGTAATATCAGCAAAAACCACCTAATAATAAATATTTGTCTTAAGAATTTTCTGTTATGTAACGTTCAACATCTTTGAAAGAATAAAAATTTTCCATGGACCACTTATTACACAACGCACAATAAATGTTCTAAAAATAATAATAAACTAAAAAAAAAGCAAACCTGTTGTGAATATTGAAATTATTCTTTAATATATATGGAAGCAGCGTTAAGGATTCTCTACAGAATTGTTAACGGGTTTACCATTATAAATAACGTTAAAGAATTTCTTTAAAAGAATTCCAAGTTTATAATGAATTCATGATAGAAAACATGTGCAAAGAAAAGTTCGTTTTTGCTGCTTTCTAGACAGAATAAATATTAATATCCGAAAGAATGGAATTCAGCTAGATTAAATTTTATATATTGTAAAAGTTCCTTTTTTAGAAATATAAAAATTAATGTTCCTCGAATGATGGAGATCTTTTGGGATTCCATTTTTAGGATTCGCTTGTAGAAAACATAACCTAAAGAACATGTTCCGGAATAGAAAAAAAAAAAAAGACAATCAAGAAACTTCTCGGGTATTTAACCAAACGGAAAAATTTCAATTTAACAATGAAATATTCGATATTCCTGGACCTTCTCTAGAAAATTACTTTACATGGAAATCAATAATATTCGCTGATGGAAATGGAAACGTACCCATATGCTTAATTAAGACTTCTACAAAGATTGTAACTTTTTATGCTTTCATAATACCTTTGACATTTATTGTCAAATAAATTAATTTACTTTAATCATAATGTGATATTTGAAAGGTGAATGTGATATTCCGGAAAGAACATCCTTTTTAATTTATTATAATTCAGACGGAAAAATATTTCCATTAAAATTTATATAAACAGCCTCACACTTTGTTTAAAATAATAATTCTCTAAAAAAGTTCCAATCAAAATTTAATTGTCACAAACCCTTTTAAATTATTGCATGTAGATAAATAAATATATTTCCATCTTAGTTAATATTTTTATTTTTATTTTTTTAATAAAGTAACTTTATCCATATAAGATTTTGAAGGAGTTATTATTTTTTTTCCGTAACCTATTTGTTTACCGAAAACGACTTTATTATACTTTTTATTAAAAAACTTTTATAAATAGGACACGAATTTTATATACTTTTGTAAACTACCATACCATTGTATATTTCTTACGGTTAAGAAATGTCCAAGATAATTAATTTAGATTTTTTTACGGAAGGTAAAATTAACGATCTTAGAAAGAACAAGTATAAATCCGAAATAGATTATGCTATAAGTTTGTTAAAAAAAGAAGTCGATACAATTGACGTAGAAACATTTGTTAGAACGAACATTGAAAAGTTAGGCAAGAATCGCAATGGCAAAATCAAAAGACCTTCCAATTCAAACATCTTATATACGAACACACTTAATAATCATTTAGGGGAAGTCGTTAAAAAAATATGTGATGATTTTAACGTGAATATGAGCAAGAAAATGCCCCTCATGAAGAAATTCAGTAATCCAATCTGGAAAGAATTAAAAGAGAAAGATCAGAAATATACCGAATTTTTTGAAAATTTGGCTTTAAAAATTAAAACAGCACACACCGAAAAACATCCGGATTATGTTTATACTCCGAATCGTAATAAACATAAACAAGGTGCATTGTTTAAACAATTTCATTATGAGAAAACTAAAAGTAAAAGAAAGGTTAAAAAAGTCACAAAAGACATTCCCAAAATATCGGGGAATACCAGCATTCAAAATGATCGTGTCAATAACTCGCAACAAATGGAAAATTCGCGCCCGCTCATCCCTCAAGAACCGATTAATAACTTGTCGAATGTGGTGTATATACAAGATCAAAGTTTTAGAATGTCTCCAATTGATCATTTTGATAATTCGCAACAAATGAGTAGTGCTCAGGTAGCACAAGTAATGTCTCAAGAATCGATTATTAGTTTTTCAAATGTGAATTTGCAACCTCAAAGATTTAAAGCGTCTCCAATTGTTGGTAGTTCGCAACAAATGGGGAGTGTTCAAGTTCAAGAATCGATTAATAGCCTGTCAAATTTGTCAAATGCGCAAGCTCAAGACAACTTTATTTCTCGAAATGATGGGAACGCGTACATGAACTTACAGGATTATGGATTGATGAATACATCCGATAATTCTTGTCTCGATGAACAATTCCAAAACGTCGAAGAGCCGAATCAATTTCCGCAATTTCATGAAAAACGAATTTTTGTGGATCTACTTTGTCAACAAAATCCTTTCGAATATCACGTGAGGCAAGATAATATTAATTCAATCGGTAGTGATTATATTCAAAACAGCCTCTATTAAAAAAAATTAGACATTGGACTCATGAATCAACATAATTAATTTATTATATGGGTGGTATGCTATTAAAATCGAGGTACGATACGAGACATAGTAAATCATATGATCCGTACCTCAACTTTAATAGATCACCCATATATCTATGCTTTCTAATTAAGATTTATGTACATATAAATAAGAGCCTTTTTAATTTATGCATTATGTAATATATCCATGATTCCAATTATTTATTTAGAAAAATAAATCCTTCTTTAATATATGAGGCATAGAGAATGATAAAAACATAAAAATAAAAATAAAATAATTAAAAATAAATTTTAACCATTGGGATCTTATTACAAGGGTGGTACTTGACTATATTCAATATTTGTCACTATTATTTGTCACTCTGTATTGAATACTTTAATATTTGTCACACGCAGAGACAAATTAAAATTTGCGGAATGATCAAGTGATTTACTCCTGACACATGGTGCTCAGTCGTTGACCATGAAGACATATTTGATAGAAAATAATAAACTAAATCATATTTGCATGAAATAAAAAGAATGACAAATCAAAGATAATTAGCATGACCTTAAAAGGAAAAAATTGTTCATATCATATATATGCGGGGTGATAATTTTTTTTCTTTCGATAACTTTGAATTATATCGAATCATTCCGGTTTAATACGAAAACGATGAGAACCAACACGTGAATCGTTGAAGCGAGAAAAACGTGCGGGTAACGGCCAAGAAACCGTCGGGTCATCCGTAAAAAATATCTATAGAAAACCGAAAATGTGCTTCGAGGGAGGCTTTACAGGTTTTTTAACGTTTTCTACACGCATATGAAAAATATATTTTTTTATTTTAGGTTATATGAAAATAGTATACATTAACTTTAGGTGAATTATAAATCATGTTCTTATAGTATATTTTATATATAATAATAATATAATATTAAATAAATAAATAAATAAATAAATAAAAAAAAAAAAAAAAAAAAACAAAAAAAAAAAAAAGAAAAAAGGAAGAAATATAAGGCTACATTTTCAAAATATAATTTGCTCCATTACAATAATGCTTTTATTCTAGGCTCTAATAAAAAAAAAAATTTTTTTTAATATATATATATATGATTTACAGTAAGACGGATGACAATTCAATGAAATTATACATATAATATAAGTTTAATATTAATTTAGTGTGACGGTGGTAATTTTTTTTTTTTTACATTTACTTATTACCTAAATCATTTTTGTATAATCGATTAATAGCAATTAACATTATAAATACCACCCAAAATACGCTCAGAACAAAAAAAAAAAAAAAAAAATATTGCCTTATCAAAAAAAAAAAGACAAATTTACCTTTATCATAAAAAATAAATTCTTTGCAAAATATTCATCAATGACTAAAACCATGACTACTATTGCGAACACCGACTGGCAAGGCAAACTTAAATCGTCCAAGGGTGAATTTCCTAACGATGTACAAGTTAAAATCATTAATAAATTTAAACGTGAAGAAATATTCAACCACGAATACACAACAACTGATTTATTCAGGAAATTTTATAAAATATCAGATACCACGCATTTAGTACCAAAAAGACAAGTAAACAGCTTCATGATACTTAGGACCGTCATAGGATTAGTAGCTGCTGAAAGAGGGATTAAAAGCGCTCTTGGAGACGGGACACAACAAAGCAAGATAGCGGGATTTATTTGGGGAGGAGCAAATCCTTGTGAGAAGAAAAAGTTTGAAGGATTGTCTACGCAGTTCAAGCACTTGCACAAATTGTATTTCCCTGATTACGAATATAAACCGGCACCAAAAGCTCAAGCTGGTTGTACTTTTGTCGAACCCATTATTCCATCAGCTTATTCGCAGACTCCTCCTATCGTTCCTTCTATTATGACTTACTCGAATTCAGATATGTCTCTAAATGATCTAGCGGACCAATTCACCATTATGAATAATAACGATTTTGCCGCAACCGTCTTTGAAGGTTCTTCGTTTCAAAATGAATCTCCTTTTGTCCCATTCTATCTTGGAGGTTGTTCGTTTCAAAATGGATCTAGAATGGTAGATGATGACTATCAACAATTTCCTGATGCTTCAGCCTTCCTTGAAGGTACTTCGTTTCAAAATGAATCTAAAATGACAGAAAATGATTATTCCAAACTTTCTTATACCTTAAACGATCAGTCTGATATGAATAATGATTATGAAATGCTTAGCGGCGTTCCAGCTCAATTTAACATTGACACTGATTTTGAGTTTATTGATTATGATCCAATCTCAACCAATGCGGCAAATTATCAATACCCTATCGATGAGAATTATCAACAATTTTTATTTTTTTAATTAATTTATGTAAGAACTTTTTTTTTGATTTGATATAATTTTATTTTCTTTTCTTCTTTCTTTTTTTTTAAAATCAAAAAAAAAAATATAGTCAACGATTTTGTATCATAATAATTATCTTCACGTTTTAAGTACACAAAAAAAATAAATAATAAGTATATGAATGTAAATATAGTATTTCAAAGATCCTAAGATTGACTTTCCCTCCTTTTTTACAAAAAGAAAAAATGCATGTATTTCTATAATTTTAATTGAGAGTGTCTTGAATTCGTTCCACTTTTTTAAAGAACAAAATTTTACTTGAATTGTGGGAAAATATAAATGTAATAATTAATTTTTAATAATATGACTTTAAGATTTATGAAAAAAAAAAGATTAAATAAAAGATTTAAAATTTTCAAAATATTCTTATACAAATCAACTTCACTTTATTAATGATTACAGTACATATAAAGAGAGTTTTAACTAAATTGGGAAATTAATAAATACAAGGCGAATGTTACCATTAATATTTTCTAACTCATTTTTAAATTCTTGTGGTCTCGGCCGATTTCCCTTGTGTAATAATTCGGAATGTGTTCTCCCCCATTGAATAATTTCCTTTTTCAAACAATCATCCGTTTTTACCTTGGAAGGAATAACTCCTTGATTTACATTTCTTCACAAAACATTACATAATTTAATCACTACTTCCGAGAAAGTTTTTAAAAAAAAAAATTATAGCACGAAATAATTTCTATTAAAGCTTTAATAAAGTTACTTTCTTTGAATATTTATTTATATTAAAAACATTTTATCTAATCAGTTATTTATCTTATCTTTTTTTTTTTTTAAAAAAAAAAGGTTTATTAAAATTAATTAAATCTAGAAAAAGCAATTCAGTCCCAAAACAACGTTAAATAAGTTTAATTATTATATTTCCTTTTTGAGACGCCATTTGCATTTTAAGTTAAAACCATTTCCCATTGTTTTAAAAAAAAAAGCTACTACTTATCAGGTGAAAAAAATTCTTTTAACAATTCTTTTCCTTTCGATAATTGGCCATTTATAATTTGTCTGTATCAGTATGTATTCTAAAAAAGAAAAGAAAAATGTTTTGTCATGAGATGTTAACAAATATGACTATATGGGTGGTCATATGATTTACTATGTTCAAACCTATACTGCTTTAAGTTTGATGCAGATTTTCGAGCTATACGAAAGCCCATTCCTTCTTAAATCATAGTCCAATGCTTTGTAACCCATTCTTAATCATTGTTCGAACTTTGTAAAACGTAAAAGCTCTTCGAGTTTGTTTTCTCAAAATCAAATTTTTTTCCTATATAATACCATTTTTTACCGTCCCAAAATTTATAATTATTTCCACAACGATGTTCTTTTTAAAAGTATTATGGATATACACCGAAGCGAAGTTGAATTGATAAGGTGATTATTAAAAAAAAAAAAAAAAAAAAGAATTGATTTTTGGAAGATAAATCGATTAAGTATTAATTAATTTATTATTTACAATACTCTTGTTTTTCATTTTTGGCTTTATTAAAAAGAAAGCTACGGATTAAATAAAGCAAAAGTTCAGGTCAATCCTTTAATTTTATTTAGGCTCTCACAAACTTTAGATTTTTTCAGCCATTGGAGAAAAAGAAAAAAACACTTCAAATGTATCATAAAAAACAAAATTTATAATTTTTTTTCAATTTCACATGATTTTTCTTACTCATTTTGGAGTTTCTAGATTTTATCTAGTCTCGGAAGGAATTTAAAAAGGACTTGATCAAAGAATTCTTGATATGGTTGTTATTGATGCACAGACATGTACAGTATGTCATTTAGAAGATAAGATAATGTCAAATAAATCAAGTTTAAATCAAGAAAAAAAGATGATGGATTTTAGAAAACATACAAAATCAGGTAATATCGGCAAATAATTATTCCTTTTATACATACATATATATATTATACAAAAAAAAAAAATTAAAATTAAAATTAAGGCGCGTTCGAACAAGAAGTTGTTGTTTCCCATAGCGCGTAAATGAGATTATGCGGAATTTAATGTATATCCAATAACTCAGCGCCGACTCTGAATAATTTATTGAAATAACCAAAAAAATGAGAAATCAGGTTTTCGTCAAAATTCACCACCAACGCATTCATGGCGTTAAAATTGTTAGAATAGCCCCCTTTCTTGTTTCATGTTTGCTTAATAAGATTTATGATACAACTTTTCAGAACATAAATAAAAACGCGCTGTATTTTCTAAATTTACATTTTAATAACTAAATAGAAATGTTGTTATCTGATATCGTTAAAGTCCGAGCCGAGATCGACATGATACATGAGATCATATTTCATACGTTAAAGGGTCTTTTTTTCGAATAAGGAATCTCAAATCGTTAAAATTGGCTTTTTGAATGGGATCGACTGTGTTCAAATTTGGTCATGGGAAGAATTTTGGGCGTGATAATGTAAACGCGAAATTTTCGCGTTCCAAGAACCTTTTACTTAAAAGTAGTTTTCTATGCTTGCTCTGTAAAAAAAAAAATTGACAATCATTCAATCATTACAAAGTTTAGAAGTTTGACTCAGTGAAGACACGGTTAAATACATAACTGCGCCGTTTAAATTTTCTTGTTATGCATACCTTTCATTATGACCTTCATTTGGCCTGGCCTGGTCACAAGGCGCACAGCTGGTGGCTTGCACAAAAAAACTAATTGGAATCAAAATTACTAATATAGAATTTTGTTGAAAGAGATTTTTTTTTTCTTGTGAAGAGAATGTTTACAAATTTACTTGCATCGTATGTTTTGTTTTTGGTTAGGAAAAACGGAGAAGAAACAGGATGATAGATGAATTTGATCCACATGCCGTGGCACTGCACTGTGGCACAGCACAACCGGTGGCTAATTGCATGTACAGTATATGCAAGTAAAAGTTTGAATTATTAATAATTAATCGTTTTACTTCCGCTTTTATCTGAGGAATCTTTTAGTTGTTGTGTTGTGATATTAATCCATTAATTATTTTCTTGTGATTATTAAATTTCAACAATGATCGGGTTCCGTTATTTGTATGCACACAGAAAAAAAAGAAAAAAAAAAAAAGGCATACACACATTTACCTATTGTAGAAATATAGAATTACGTTTTAATGTTGCGTTAACATCAAAAATTGAAAATTTTGGATTTACTTGAATTATATTAGATAAAATTGATTTGCTTGGCTTGCATATAATTGTTCCATTCAATTAAAAATTTACCTACAGTACATTTTATGTAATGGATTAGGAGAGAAATCACAAGTGCTACACCTTTTAAGTTCGATCTCGAAAATTTTCTTCATTAACATTACGTATATATTTACATGTTTATCTTTAATGCGTTATAAAGAACATTACGATGGAAACGAACACAAATTTTAAGTTCCATTATACGTTCTTGGCAAAACCTGCATAAATATATGTATCAACAATAAAGAAATTCTTCATAGAAGGAAGTGATCAATCTATATATTGGCTACAAGAACCTTAAACCTTGAAAGGAAATATGATTTTGTTCAACTTAGATAAATGTAACGAGATACACGTCAAAATCTATTATTCATGAATCAAATGCAATGCAACCAACGATGTTTCGCAGTGATAATCTCTCAGTCCTTCCCCTCAAGCATGTTTGTTTACATAATGCGTTTTACGAAACACTACTTATTTTGGTATTTGTATTTTCATTGGTATATAGTAAAAATTTCCGAGAGACAATGATGTAAATAAATTACATACAAATAGATAGAAACAACATTAAAATAATGTGGAGAAATAATATATATTCATTAAAATGGCATGTCACACTGTACTTCAACAATATAAAAAAAACAGATAAAAATCCTGAACTATAAATTTTAATGGGAATTCCTATGGAAGTATTCATCCCAATTACTATGGATAATGACCGTTCAAACAAAGAAATGTATGCGTTAAACCTTTTGTATGATGTAAATCTAAAAAGAACACAATTTGTAATATTATTTGTATTATTATTTAATTTCTTTTTCTCTTTAGAAATTAGAAAAACCCCACGGAATATAAATGAAAATCTTACTACATATAGAATGGATAAGATTGATCGAAGGTGAATTCTTTAATATACAGTAAATCATATTACTTTTGACACTGTGCATATTTTCATATGATAGACAGGGGCTTGTTTTTTTCTTTTCTTTTCTTTTTTTTTTTTAAAAAAAAAAAGGGGAAAAGGTGGAAAGAAAAAAGGAATCCTTTTTGCAACAAAAATACAACTAGGTTAGATAAAACAATATAAACAATAAAATTTTCATAATTTTATTACTTCCCCCATACATTTACTAGCATACAATGAATCTATAAGAACTAATCCGAAATTTATTTGACTGTTTCATCAAAATGAATAAGATGTTCAAGTGTCAAAGAATTTAAAACTAAACTCGTCCCTATAGTATGTACGTATTATTGGGGGACTTACGATCTAACTTTAAAGTAGCATTTGTTTGAATTGCTTTCATGTGCCCGTTTAAGAACATAATCGGAAAATATGTTCAGGTGTTAATTAAAAAAAATTAGTCGAATTTTCAATTGTAAATTTCTTTGTTTTTTTTTTTTTTTTTTGATTTTCATCAAGGGTGGTGTAGTAAAAAAAAAAAATGAAATCATTTGTCCTAATTAATTATAAGGTGATTTAAAAGGAAAGCATATTGGTTATATTGGTTGATCTTTCAAATTTGAACTTTTGGAGTATTTTTCGTGTCGCGAATTTTTAGTAATATCAATTAAAAAAAAAAAAAAAGAAAAAGAAATTTCTTGCATTTCACTTCAACAATAATGTATCATTATTTAATTGTTAAGGTCATTGAGAAAATACCAAAAATTAAGAACTTAAAATTTTTTTAAACAATGTCCACTTCATATTGTTCCAAATTAAGTTAGAATCGACAAAAAAAAATTTTTTTGTGTAGGAAAATAGAAATCAAACATAAAATTTAATCTTAAGAATCTTCAATAAACTTAATAAGAGCGTCGCGTATTTTTTTTTTTTGGTATTCCTAAATGGTAATAATACAAAAGTGTCAAACTACCTCATAATTTTTTTGTTTGCTGAAATTACAAATTCACGTGATCTTGATGAAGTTTCAACTGAGTCAACTGAATTGGTCTAATGACTGACCGAGTCCACACACATTTGAGTTTAGATTCTGAACTTTGTAAATATTTTGCGATATAAAAAAATACAACTTTATATGTTTGGTAGAAACCACTAAATCACGATTATACAACTTACCCAACACTAACTCTAATATTAAATCCACCCTTTAAAATTCAAAGGGTAGGTATGTTATATATAATAAACCCTAACACCCTAACCCCGATCCTTCATAACCCTAACCTACGAAATTCAAATCCCACACCAATCTATTTTCAAAGCACTATCCGGTAAAATGAGTGTCTTGATTCTAGCGTTTCAAAAACGAGTCGCAACTTTAGGAATAAGTATCATAAGTTTCTTCCGTTTCATAATTATCCTCGAAGTCAGATGATTTTAAGAGCTTGTCGACCAGAAAAATTATGTAGAAGCCGAATATTTATGGCCAAATCTAAACTTTTGTACAAACATTTTAATGTAGGATCTATAGTATATATAAAATTGATTTCAGGGTGATAACTGGTTAATAAATTAATAACGATGCTTCTTTTTTTGAAATAAAATTTATTACGTAATTTTTTAATGTGATAAACGATTCGCAATTGTGATATGTTGAGATGCACTAAATCGTCTTAAGACACGAAGGGTAATGTAATTGGAAGAATGTGGTGAAAGTCAAAACATAGATCTTCATCTGATTATATTTTAAAAAAATTCGAAAGTTATGAAAAACGGTCAAAAAAACTTAAAGTGTGACATATAATAGTGACAATTAACAAGAACGCTTGGGAAGTTTCTCTCTGACTAATTTTCTAACCAGCTTGACTAATTTTAATCTTGACCCTAATAATAACTAACTGGAAAATAAACCCGGCTAAATTTTGGTGCGCAAAGTGGGAAACGGACTTAAAAATCGTCATCACTTGGGAATAGTTTCGAAAACTGTTGTTAAGTCTGGAGCACAAAGTGTAACGAAAGGAACCAACCAATATTACTATCTTAATTTTTCTTAATTTTTTTATTCTAATTCTGGCTAACTTCACATTAAAATTAAATTTGGCCAATACAAATGACCTTATATGATTGTCATTTAAAAGGTCATTTAAAGGTCATTTAAAATAGTCAAATGACCCATGTGTCTTACTGGTATATTCTTCGATACATACCTGATACCACTGATCAAAGGCCTGCGTGTGCCACCTTGCGCCCATATATTGAATGGTTGAAATACAAAGTAAAATTCACCAAGCCTATTTACCACACATCGTGAATCGTAATGGAATGAATATTTTTTTGATGATCTATTTTTAGAATGAAATTTCATCTTAAATACAGTACCTTTTTTCGTTCTGCAGCATAATTTGATGAATATGCTTCATAACATAGGGAGTTTAAAGGATCTGTATTATTGAAGTTTATGGACGCAGGTTTTTCTTTGTCCGCTTGATTTCTCTTTCGACTGCAACAAGACATTGATTGTAAGTCAATCATGCTGTTGTAATCCAGCCTTTTGAGTTTTACTTATTCTTCTTGAGTGGAAAGAGACTGTTTTGCTTGCCAGGATCTTGGAATTCTTGATCTTTTTGAGCCTAGGCAGCAGCTTCTTATCTCCTTCTGCGGTAGACAATGGAATGCATTGCATTATGTTTTGTTACAAATACAGTGACGATTGGGAGAAAGTTCTATGGATTTATTATCATGAGCAGAGTCATCATTTTTTCTCATTCATTCCATAAATTCAAGACTCAAGTTACACAATTAATCTTTTCACCACTTCCTCGATTCCTCCTTATGTGTATTCATTATAGAAGAACAACAAAACTCCTATGTTTCCAGTTGAGTCGTCATGATAGCAATCCTTCTAAAGATCGTCCAGTTGCAATATGGGCCTTTGCAATAGAAAGGGGGAAACTGCCGGAAAAAATAAAAAATGAGTTAATGAACATATTTCGGCCTGAAAATCAGATTTGGTATATAAAAGTAAAATTGATTTTTCCCGGCAGTTTCCCCCTTTCTATTGCAAAGGCCCCATATTGCAACTGAGACGTCATACGTCTCTTTGAATTTTGCTTGCACTTTGGAGTTCCCTCCTAATTTCGAGTTTAAAGATAAGATATGTTTACTATATTTTACAAAATTTTAAACAATTAAAAGAGAAATAGGTCGTATAGAAGAAATCCAAAATTTTTTTCCGACAACGACGAAATATTGAAAATCGATCATTAGGAAAGGCGCAGCAATTCTCGATGTTTGTGAATGTCTTAAAATTAGGGCGGGTCCATGAAAATACCAATTTTGGAAGTTCTTTTTCCTTTTACAAACTATTAATAAAATTTATTTATATTAGCAATTTTAGATAAGTAATTAATATCTCTATAACATGGATCATTTCACTCAGAGGCGTATATTTAGTTAAAGAGGGTGTATAGTTAAATTTAGAGAGAAGGCGTGCAGAACTTAAATTATATAATCAAACTTCTTGAATTTCAATTGTATTATTATTTTCAAAGCCCAAAATTTAAGTTTAATAATATCATATTTTATTAATTTAATAAATAAGCGTTAAGGAATGATCGAAAATTGGAATGTTACCGCGACAAAATTATTCATGGTCGATATTTAAACTGTTTCGACAGAATTTTTTTTTCTTTAAACATTGTTTGTAGTATTGGTTCGAAATTTATCTTTTTTTTTGTAAGAGAGCAATAATAAATAAAAATGTCAATATTTCGTTTTTTAAAAAAATATATTATGACTCTTTTACTTGTACAGTATATCACTAGTCACATCGTTTAAAAAAAAATGTGATAACGAAATTTTTACAGCAACTTGTGTTTCATAATTCACACGAAAACATTAATCTTACATGGCAACAAACAAATAATCTTCTTCAATGAACCTTTTCATTTTTAATTAATGTCTCAGGACCACGCTTAATATAAAATGAATTTCCTGATGCTAATTCTATCTGGCGTGAGAAACGGGTTATCTTTTTAAATTGAATATGTAAGACGCGATTCGTCATAATCGATCTGAAATCTAAATTGGTAACGAGAGACACGATAATCAACTTTATTAATGATAATCTGCAGATGACTCATTTCAACTCATATGAGATTGCATAAATAACATCAAATATAGCATGATAATAAGGGTTTAATTTAACAATTTCCCTTAGAATAATAGAACATGTAACTTTTAGTTTATAGAATTTTAAAAGCTTATGTAAAGGATTTGATATACATATTTAACAATGAATCATTCTTATAATTGGTTATGTTTATTTATTATTTGTATGTTTGCTTATTATTAATGTGACGTACGCATATCAATATTTTATGAAATTTTTAAATAATATCATTAGAAAGATTAAGTTATAATTGTTATAATGGCAACTCGGAGCAAACTCAGTACATTAATGATTACGCCCATCGAATTGTGAAGGTTGTTGAAATAAACAACCGATGTGTTTCTAAAACAACCTTATCAACTTGAACTCGGAATAAACTCCGAATTCAATGATTAAAATAATATAAATAAGATTATATTTGTGATGCATAAATTTGTTTACTTTTTTAAAAAAAAAAATCATTAGAGACAAAGAGTTTTGGATATATTAAAGAAATATGAGAATTCTTTTTATCGCTATCAATAACTTTTTCTAGCAGAAATATTTATAGCGAACGGACAGCGCCGATTTAAGAATAGGATAAATTAATCATTATAAGGTTATTCTTTATAATATTCCAACATTCCTTACCTTAAGTTTTCGCTTGGTTAATCAATCGTCTTTCCTCTGAAATTAGAATATCCTTGATTGAAAATAATTTACACTTAAATAGAATTAATCTGACCGAAATTTTTGGTCAATGAAAGTACTAAAAAATATTTTCATGAAGAAATTTCCATTTTTGGTTACCGTTAAAAAAAGAACACATTCAGAAGTAGATCAAAATAAAAACAATTGGAATTTTGCGCCAAAAAGATTTTTTTTTTTTTTCACACTTCAAAGATAATAACTCCTTTTAAAGGTCTATTACAATTCGAAGCACATAAATAAGTCTTTAGCCAACTTATTTTGTTATGACCTTAAAAGTGATTTTGATTTTGGTTGTTTTCATGTGAAAAAAACTGGGAAAAATCAATTTTGCATTTATATGTCAAATATGATTTTCAGGCTGAAATATAATAAAGATAGCATTAACTCATTTACCTTTACCCCCCTCCCAATTGCAAAGGTCCCATATTATCACTTGCCACGATCAACAACGTAACGTTAAAATAAAACGTAAAATTACAGAAACACAACAACTATCAATAATAAAAGTAATAAATAAGTTTACTGTTCATTACATCACTTTAACAAAAAATTTTCTTCCTTCTACAATGGCGTCGCATATTGATTATCAAATATTTAGGCAACGAACATAGTATCGCCACAAGATTTTTCATACCCACGTGATTTAGTAAATTATTAAAATATTTGTCACCCCGGGTCACACCCCTCCACTTGTCCATTTTTACTAAGTATTGAATATTTTCGGAATAAAATCATATTTGTCACGTCATGTCACTAATTAATGCCGTAATGCCGGCCAAAGTCACGTGGGGTGAAAATTCTTTAATGTGATCCGTGACGTGATACAAACTATTCAGTGATTTTTTGGCCGGCATTATGGAACTTGGCTGAAATTATATATGGGATAAGTGCTGTGAAAAGGGACCAAATTGTAAAAAAAAGTTTTCTTAAAATAATTAAAATTCTGGATCAAACAATAAAAGGTACATCTAATTCACTTAGAAATAATTCTTTGAAAAAAAATTTCAATTTGGTCCCTTTTTGCAACACTCATCTCATATGACGAATATGATGGAAAAAAAATTCTGTAAACTTATCTCTTTTAAATAATTTTTTCATGTCATAATTCCATTCAAAGACAAATGTGAGATGAAAATTATTTATGGTGATTCTTTTTAATTTACATATTGTGTAATACCTTTCTTTTTTTTATTCTAATATATTATCAAAATTAATAAAAATGATCAAAATTATTTTATGCATAACCTAATTAACCCTATTCCTTAATACTTATTTAATTAAAGTTCATAAATTTATAAAATGTCTTAAAAATTGTTTTATTTAAAAATAATAAATTTATAATATATAATTTTAGAAATAATATCAAATTTGATCCCAAAATCTATAATATTTATTATATTCATTACAATTTTTTTTTAAAAAAATACCTTATATGATTCAATCATTTAATTGAATCTAATTCGCTTTAAAAAATATTAAAATTGGGTTTTTGAACCTAAAACTTTGTTTTTATACAAAAGAAATTTGCTTTAAAATAACAGATATAATTTGTTTTTTTCTTTAAAAAAAGTTATAGAACTATGATAGAATTCAGAATCACAAGTCAGAAAATTACTAAAGCCAAAAGTTGATTGTAATAATTATTTTGAATCTTAAACTTGACAAAATATAATCAACTTTAAATTAATTATCTATTAGTCTGATTAACCGACAAAAACTAGTTATACTAAATTTATAGATATCTTTCTACTAATAAACAATCTAAGCAATAAGCTAAATAATGAAATCTTGAAGCTTTAAAATAATGATAAAGTCGAAACAATAATAAAAATTAATTCATTTTATTACTAGATATTTTGTATTTTAAACTTAATAAAGGATTCATTTTATATGTATTAGATTCTTAAATAAGCAAAGTTAAATTTATTTTAAAAATAAACATGTCACATGATAGCTCACAACTTGTAATATAATAACATTTGAAGCATGATCTAGAAAAATGACCTTTTAAGACTTAATAAATAATAAGTTTAAGAAGGTTATTTTTCTAGATCATGCCTTATTTGATTAATTTGTTTTTAATATCTTTAACTTTTATTTTCTAATAAATAAAGATTATAATACAAAGTTTGCTTAAATATTGTTTTTAAAAGCTTTATACCTATTCTAATACTTAAAAAATTGAAAAAATTAATATATTTTACTGATTTTTCAAAACTGGAATCGAAAATCATTTTTAGCAGTTAATTAATCATTTTAAAAATTGATTTTGCTGATTCAACTTTTAATTTTAATTTTTGAAGTGATTCTAATTTCTAAACTCTTTAATTACTAATATATTTTGCTGACAATTTTAGTGGAATATTTCTTTTTAAATTAAAATTTTTAATAAATTCATTAATTGCGGTTTTATTTTTTTGTTTAAGATAGAGTTATACATATGAGAATCTTTTTATTTTTTTTGTTATTAAGCGTTATATTTCTTAAATATATCAATTTATATTTTTTTATAACATAAAAATGTGCATAATTTATTTAAATCTCTTATATAGATATTAAGATATTCAAATTTCAAAGGATTTCTGATTTATTTGAATATATGGAAAGTTTGCTAGGAAAATGAAACTCTGAGCATTTTATATTTTTTATTACATTTTAATCTAATATTATTAAAAAATTAAAATGTAATAAAAAATTCTCAGAATCCCATTTTTCTAGTAAACCTCCTATATGATAAACTCTAAAAATTACAAAAATTTATCTTTTCTAATAAAAACAATAATATTATCTAGTTCAAAATTATGCATTTTTATCTGAGATACGAAAATATATAAAATCTTGTCAACTTAAACTTATAACATTTTTTAAAGTTTTTAGTTACTGTATATACATTGCATTTATATATTTGACAATAATTATGTTCTATAAATTTGACTAGAAATATGAAATAGCGTTCTTAAACTAAAACTTTATTTTTAGTCAAAATTAAAATTGTTTTAAATAATAAATAGTGACTTTGAAAGTTATATTTATGTAATACAATATTGTTAATAGCAGTTCTTTGATGTTTATGAGTTATAAATGGAGTTTTAAAATAAATAGAAGGTATTGTGTTTATTGTTTTACTAATTTAATTACTAATAATCTTAATTCTAATCTAATACAACATAGATATCATATTGCTTATAATATCAGCACTCTATAAAATCAGGTATGTTTATTAATTATATCTTTCAGAGTTATTATAATAAAAATGTAAAAGAAAAATAATGGATAACAATGTTTTTGTGTTTAGGAAATTATCAGACTTTTTAAGAATAGAATGATTTATTTATTATTGCAAATATAAATTGTGTTAACTGTTATAATTGTTAAAACTTTATTAAAGAAAAATTTCATCATTTACATGAATTTAATAAGACATTTTTGTCCAAAAAACTAATTTGGCCAGTGGACAATTATGATCAGTGGACTAATTTGACCAGAAAACAATTTTAGCTAGTAAACAATATTGATCTTCATTACGCTAACTTAATAATCGTTAGCTGAATTTCTTATATATGTAATAAAATAATAATAAAATAATAATGCTAGTAGATGCAAAATAATAATAATGATAATAATAAAATAATAATAATAGAAATAATAGAATAAAAAAATAATAAACGCTAATAAATGTCAACTACAATAACAAGATCATCTATCTTGAATATCCTGCATTGTCCATTTTTTCTTCTTTGTAATAATATATACATTATTAATGTAAAAGTATTGTCAATCATTTTCTTTTCTTATACATAAAATAAAACTGTACATTAAAGTTACAGATAAATATGTAATATTATATTTACATTAATTTCTTAGGAGCTACTGAGTAATATTAAAATTGAATATATGGTACACATGTTATTATTTCTTTATGCATAAATAAAATATAAAATATAAAAACTTAATTTTTAAATTCATAATCAAAATAAACTGAAGGTGGATTGGAAAGAAAAAATTAATCATATTGTAGAGAAATTATTCCAAAACTAATTATCTTAATCAGAAATCAGAAACATTCTGATATTCTAATACCGGGTAAGTGTAATAAGGATAAATTATATGCTGTTCGGAATGATAATTTGGTGCGATTTGATGATAAATTTGAGGGGTTTCTATTATATAATTTTGAGTTATATGTTGCAATTGGGTTGGAGGAATATGGTTGTCTATACTTTCTATATGATTGAGCGATTGAGTTGGAAGAATTTGGTCGACTATAATATTTTTATGATTTTTTTGCGATTGGGAATTATGTATCTTTTCTTTATTTTCTTGTATTTTTTGTTTCGTCTTTCTAATTTTCGTTCGTTTTACCCTATTCTTCGTTCCGTTCTCAAAATCACTAATAACAGAATTATTAAAAGTTGTCGCAACAGGTTTCTTGTCATAATTTTTACCTTGGAAATCCGATTGTAATTTTTTTATTTCGTTTGCAATCTTTTGGAAATGAGCCTTATCGTTTGGAGCCATGGCATTCCAAACTTTAGTTGCTTCATTTGTAATAAACACACCATCTTTTGCAATCGGTAAAAGATTTTGCTTCACAACTTCCAGATAAAGGATATGTCTAAAACAAAAAAAGCAGTTCATTGGTCTTTTAGGTATTCCCTCTTTATTTAACTTCTCGACTACTAATTTGTTTGCTGGTGGCAATTTCGGTGGAAGGATACCCTTTAAATTAATTTTTTTAACAAATTCATTAATGACGGTCTCGTCATACTTCGCTTTTTCGTTTAAGGTGGTAGCCATATGAGAATCTTTTTTGATTTTTTTTTTTAAGTTTCTCGAATATATACTGTGTATACTGAACGTATAAATATATATTTTTTTGTAACACAAAAATGTGCGTAATTTATTCGGTGTTACTTACAATTTCCTAAGCGTAACATTATAATATCATCAAGTTTCGGAAATATGCACATTTATCCGAGATACGAAGAGTATATAAAATCTTGTTAGCTTAAACTCGTGACATTTTTTAAATTGAGAATAGAAATAATAAAAGTTTTTAGTTACATACATTGCATTTATTTATTTGACAATAATTATGTTTTACTAAATTTGACTAGAAATATGAAATTGCGTTCTCAAACCTAAAACTTTTATTTTTATGCAAAATTAAAATTCGTTTCAATTAACAGAGTGACTTCGAAAGCTATATTTATGCAATACAGTATTGTCAATCATTTTCTTTTTTTAAAAAATAAATAAATAATAAAAAAAAATCTTAAAAATTTTATTCCATAGTTAATTTTGTTAATTTATTTCTTAGAATAAATTTATACATAAGATAAAACTGTACTTTGAAGTTACAGATAAATATGTAATATTATATTTACATTAATTTCTTAGGAGCTACCGAGTAATGTTAAAATCGAATATATGGTACACATATGTTATTTCCTTATGCATAAATAAAATATAAAATATAAAAACTTAATTTTTAAATTCATAATCAAAATAAACTGAAGGTGGATTGGAAAGAAAAAATTAATCATATTGTAGAGAAATTATTCCAAAACTAATTATCTTAATCAGAAATCAGAAACATTCTGATATTCTAATACCGGGTAAGTGTAATAAGGATAAATTATATGCTGTTCGGAATGATAATTTGGTGCGATTTGATGATAAATTTGAGGGGTTTCTATTATATAATTTTGAGTTATATGTTGCAATTGGGTTGGAGGAATATGGTTGTCTATACTTTCTATATGATTGAGCGATTGAGTTGGAAGAATTTGGTCGACTATAATATTTTTATGATTTTTTTGCGATTGGGAATTATGTATCTTTTCTTTATTTTCTTGTATTTTTTGTTTCGTCTTTCTAATTTTCGTTCGTTTTACCCTATTCTTCGTTCCGTTCTCAAAATCACTAATAACAGAATTATTAAAAGTTGTCGCAACAGGTTTCTTGTCATAATTTTTACCTTGGAAATCCGATTGTAATTTTTTTATTTCGTTTGCAATCTTTTGGAAATGAGCCTTATCGTTTGGAGCCATGGCATTCCAAACTTTAGTTGCTTCATTTGTAATAAACACACCATCTTTTGCAATCGGTAAAAGATTTTGCTTCACAACTTCCAGATAAAGGATATGTCTAAAACAAAAAAAGCAGTTCATTGGTCTTTTAGGTATTCCCTCTTTATTTAACTTCTCGACTACTAATTTGTTTGCTGGTGGCAATTTCGGTGGAAGGATACCCTTTAAATTAATTTTTTTAACAAATTCATTAATGGCGGCCTCGTCATACTTCGCTTTTTCGTTTAAGGTGGTAGCATTAGGAGAATCTTTTTTGAAATTTTTCGTATCACTCATTATTATTATAAAGTATTATCGTTTCTCGTATTTATTTTCTATATATTTGGTCTTTTTTTTAAAAAAAAAAAAATTTGATTTTTGAGGATATTTTTTTTTAAAAAACAAACTATGTATATATATATATTTATAATTTATTTTTGTTCTCTTGGGGAGATGGTTGGCACATATCTCCAACTTTCTCTTTTTATAATAATTTTTACTATCGTGATGGCCGCAGCGGCCCGATCTAGCATTTAACTAATTTGATTTTAATGATGTTAGTGTGCTTATTTATTTATTTGATTAAATAAATACAAAAATGAATCATTTTAAGTTTGCCGGTAGTTTTCTTTCATCAATCATCTTTTTTGGTATCTATTCGTAACATATCACATAACCTAGAAGATAATATATATATATTTTTAAACAAATACTTTTTTAAAGGATATATATTTAATCCAACAAATTGAATTCCGCGAGCACAAACACAAGGTAAAGAAAATTGAAGTGTCACAATAAGATAGAATTGAAATATAAATATATAAACACGCTCCGATCACATATTCGATAGTAAATGATTTTATAAATCTTTAGTCAACATGGTTAACATGGGTTTGAACTCCGACAGAAAATGAATCCCAATGATTTCTCATTCATCTACAACTAAATTTATTTTAGTACAAATTTATGTGTTACAAAAGCATTGATGTATTTATATTGAAAGATAATAAAACCTAGTTTAATAATAGCGAATAATAAATTTTAAAAGTAAGCAAGTGTAAAATAAAATTTTGGCTAATTTTATTTTTTGGGGAACAATACATCAATCATGAATAAAAAAAATGTGAGATCGATCGTTGAATAGATTTGTTATGCTACGGTTATTATAATAAAATATATTTATGATGATTTGAATATATGATCTTATCAAGTTATAAGAAACTTCTGTTGCCTAAACTTATCAAAGCGACCGGATGAGAAAAGATTTTTCGTTCCGCATGAGAATTACTGGATTTGAAATGGTGAATCATTACAACACAAATAATGTAATAACCAATGGTATTAAAAAAAAAAAGAAAACCCCAAATTTTAGTGTAAATCATTTAATTAAATTTCTCGAAGTATCCAATTTAATCATAATATGACCATAAACAGAAAGAATACAAAGTAAAATTTCATGAAACTTAAAAGGAGTTTTTTTTCTTGATCGTTTTGCCAGTGTTTCGGACAAAATAATGGGTAAATTGCGAAAAATTGCTAACCATAATTGTAAAACAATAATGCAAGTGTTTGACAAATCACCTTTAATCAAAATAAAATTCACGTAAATCTTTTCATATAACTTTCATCAAAAATAAAGAGTAAATAATCAAGCGATGTAAATAAATAAGTCGGCCTCTTTCATCATGATATCATTGATTAATATATGATGCATTGTTTTGCAAGCTTGCAGAAACCTTGAACAATGAACTATTTGTACATTCTCAATATTTATACTCTTGAAATACAAGGGAATCTTTGTGAGCTTTTAGATCTTTGGTTAGCTATTAAAACTAATTAAAGCTGTAATAGCTAAGCCGTCCATTCACAAGTAACCAACAACAAAAAGTTTTCTTTCATGTTTATTAGAACGACTCAGAAAATCTTGCACATATAAGGAATTGAATCAAAGACCTTTCAATGATAACTAAATAAGGCGTCACAAATTATATAAATCATGAAAATCCGACCAAACAATTCTTTGAAGAAATATTGTTGGCGTTTCTCACATTTCTCACATGGTTATGCTTCATGTAGTTACACTGCAAGAGATACTTTATTTGTTAAGTTGAAATTGAAGAATTTTGCAAATGCCTTAGATAGTATAGACGCTAATAGTGAATTTTGTGATGCTATTTACCACGTGGGACTTGCAGTAGTACATTTAAAATAGCTTCGTCCTAGTCCAAAATTAGTAAAAGTCGTTAATTAATAACTTGCCTATTTCGGTAATACGTTTGTAGATCACGATTACCAATAATCCATTTAATCACAAAGTTAATAATTACAAAAATTATTAAAAATGTAAAAGTTTTATGTAATTTTAAAAAAGATTAATTATTTTAAAGCCTTGTCTATTAAAATTATATTTTCAATTTAAATTCTTTCTTTTTATATTAATTAATATTAATAAGCTTATCTTTTAAAATTTTATTATTATTATTAAAATAATAATTTGCTTTTTAAACTAAGAAATTAATGTTAGCAAATATTATTAATTTCTTTCATAAGATCTAAAAAAAATATATATTAACTATATATAATATTATTCTTATAATTATTAATAGATTAAGCTGAATTTTTGTTAAATCATATGACTGAATTAGCTGAATGTTTATCAAATAATATTAGTGCTGAAAAAGATAATTTCAACTAGTATTAAGAATATTAGAAAGTACACATAATCTTGTAAATATTATCAAAAAAGAGAAAAAGTCTCTAGAATTAAGACTTTACATAAGATAATCATTATATTATATAGAAATAAATTATGTAAGATTTTTGGTAAAAGAAACAAATATATACTAGTCACAATAGATTATTTGACCAAATGATCAGAAGTTAAATCTATAAGTATTGCTAACGTAAAACCAGTTATTAAGTTTATTTATGAAGATATTATTTGCAGATATAAATGCTCTGGAGAAATCTTTACAGATTGAGAAATGCATTTTAATAATTAACTACTTAATGAACTTTTACCATATTATTCACAAAAAAATAGATTAGTTAGAAATTTAATAGAAGTTTTTGCAAAAATTATTACTGATTATATAAGGAATTAGGACTAATATATGAGAGGCAGTCAGTAAAAAAGAGAAAAATCTAAATTTTGATCCAAATTTATATTATTAAACTATTTGGCTAATCTCGATTATGTGTATAAATTTGGTTTAATAATAAAAATTAACAAAAATTTTGGATTTCTCCCTTTTCTACTGACCACCTCCCATATTATGCTAATACTTTTTTCACTTATTATACAAATAAATATTCTATTATAAAAATATCACACTTTTTCTTCATATATAAAATAGATGCAAAATTATTAATGGATAATACAAAAATAGAGAAGAAACTTATTTTGCTCAATCATGTAGAAAAATAATTAGATCACCTATTAATTATTTATAATACTATTTATTAATAATTATAAATTGAACAAATAAAAACCTATAAGAAATCGAAATAAGGAAATGATACATTTTTTATAAGGTTTGTTTACGTAATTAATGATTCTATATCAAAATTCCATATGTTTTATAATGATTATTTTTTTATAATTTTTTAAAAAATTAATGTATATGGAATTATTAAGGAATTTAAAATAATGTATAAACTTTATATAAAATAAAAAATAAAAAATAACAATATTCAAACCAAAAAAAAAATTTTTTTTTTGTATTTTTTAATGTATAGATTATACATGAAGTCGAAATGGATCATTTCGGAT